GGGTTAATGCCCATTGTTTGCCGAATGGGGGATCTGGATGCTCCGCACCCCGCCTTTCGTGCGACTGAGAGGATGTGTTCTTGCACATATTATTTTAGGTCGCCAAGAACGCACGCCCTTCCGGCCATGATGTTCACACCTCTTTTGCATTTAGCGCTCCCGGCTTTTGAGTCTGCAGCAGTAGGCTTCTTACCCCAAGAGTCTGGAACCCTGTTTCAATTGCTATACCTTTTATGCAGACCTTGGGGCGGCTGCTTCCTGACGCCAGCTTGGGCATCCCAACTCGAAGTCCGAAAACCCAAAACCCAAAACCCAAAACCCTAAACTCCCTAAACTCCCTAAACTCCCTAAACTCCCTAAACTCCCTAAACCCTAAACCCTAAACCCTAAACTCCCTAGACCCTAAACCCTAAAACGCAAACCGGGAAGGGAAGCCCAGGAGTGATTTGCTAGTGAACTCTGCGCCATTCGGGGGTTTACCATATTCGGGGGGGTACCTTATTGGGGTCCTTAATTATTACAAGAGGATCCTACTATGTCGGGGGTCTTTATCAGGGATAACCCTAAACCCTAAACCCTAAACCCTAAACCCTAAACCCTGAACCCTAAACCCCCATCCTGTGCCAGGCTGCGCAGCTTTGGTGCTGGGCCCGGGTTGCCCCTGATCACCCGGCTTCATGGAGATGCCGTACCTGGGCGAAGAGGTGCCGACAGGCGGACGTTTAGGGTTTAGGGTTTAGGGTTTAGGGTTTAGGGTTTAGGGTTTGGTTTAGGGTTTAGGGTTTGGTTTAGGGTTTAGGGTTTAGGGTTTAGGGTTTAGGGTTTAGGGCTTAGGGCTTAGGGTTTAGGGTTTAGGGTTTAGGGTTTAGGGTTGAGGGTTGAGGGTTGAGGGTTGAGGGTTGAGGGTTGAGGGTTGAGGGTTTAGGGTTTAGGGTTTAGGGTTTAGGGTTTAGGTCATATCTTGGGTAGACTCTTGGGGCCAAAAGGCCGAGCATGCCTCTGTTGCCGTGGGGCTCCCCCCCCCTCTGTGACTAGATGTTCAGCAAACCCGTGGCTCTTGAGCAGAAACCGGAGTATTCCTTGCCCTGAACCCTAAACCCTAAACCCTAAACCCTAAACCCTAAACCCCAAACCCTAAACCCTAAACCCTAAACCCTATTTCCCGAGCCTGTTTGTTTGTGTTCCATGCTGCTGCTCAGCAGCTTCTGAGCTGCCCCGGCGTGGGCTTTCTGGCTGCGAGTTTTCGGGTGTCCCGGTCGTTGGCCCTGTCTCCATGCTTCATCCTCCTGCGGCTATAGGCCCCCTGGACGCAGAGAAAGGGCCTCCCTCAAACTTGTGTGGTGGCGAGTCTCCTGGGGTCCACGACTTGCGAGTGGACCGTCTCTTCATTTCTTCCCTTCTGCTTCTTCTTCTTCACCCTAAACCCTAAACCCTAAACCCTAAACCCTAAACCCTAAACCCTAAACCCTAAACCCTAGACCCTAAACCCTAAACCCTAAACCCTAAACCCTAAACCCTCTCTGCCTCTCGCTCTGTGCTTTCTGCGCTCTCTTTAGAAGCATTCGGTCGGGCGGCTGCAGCAGGAAGAGCTCCGAGATGGCCAGTTGTGGCTCCAGCTGCTTCGAGGCTCGGTTGAACAGCACACCTCAGCTGCTAAGAGGGTTTAGGGTTTAGGGTTTAGGGTGTAGGGTTTAGGGTTTAGGGTTTAGGGTTTAGGGTTTAGGGTTTAGGGTTTAGGGTTTAGGGATTGAACAGCACACCTCAGCTGATTAAGGGCCAGGATGTTTGGAATTCCGGTGCTCGGAGTAGTAGATACTTCCGACAACCTGAGACCGGTCATCCACTCGACTTAAGGGTCACCAAAAGGGCCAAGCTTTGAAACTCCAACACCCCTGGAACCCCAGGGAGGCGCGGGGCCTAGCGGCATCAGAGACATCGACTTGCCCACTTTGAGGCCTCGGAAAGCGAAGCCGCGAAGTTGGGGGTTCATCGTTCGTCGCCTTGAGGGCCATAGGGGAGAAGCAGGTGTGGGTTGGAGGCCACATGACCTGGCGGTATAGTACCAAGCACCGAGGTACAAACAAACGTCAATATGTCATGCACAACATACAATCGCAAGAAACTGGAGGCTTGAGTAGCCAGTGGCCTGATCCGTTAGTGCGCGAAGCGGCGGTTTCAGAGTGTCCTTGGATTACCTTTTCCATAAGGTCAATGTGCGCAGAAGCGTCTGCCGCCCAGTACTATCTAAGCCAGGATGCTGTGAGACATCTGCGCCGCAAGGGCTGACCATATGCTGACGATGAGTTCCTTGGGTCGATCAGGCAACATGACATTGAAGTTGGAGATGGGTGAAGAGAGGGGGGGGGGGGTGAGGAGCTTTTTCTAGCGTGCGGATTGAAACCCTAAACCCTAAACCCTAAACGCCAAACCCTAAACCCTAAACTTCAACCTAGAAACAGCACCTCCATGGAAGGAGTCGCACCAGGGTGACAAGGAACTCTACGACCAAGGGTCGGCATGTGAGGTGTTTAGGGTTTAGGGTTTAGGGTTTAGGGTTTAGGGTTTACGGTTTAGGGTTTAAGGTTTAAGGTTCATGAGCGAAGAAGCGCAACCCACCCTTTACTCGCCATTCGAAAGGAGACCGTACCAAAAACATGCGCCGAGATTCGATTGCTTCCTCCTCATTTTCTGGAGGAACGATGGACCGAACTGATTTGATGCAGTCTCCTCCCACTCCAACACTGACAGGATGCATGGGAGATTCCGGGCTAGGCTCAGATGGGTTCTCTTTTGCGGGCGCACGACTTGTGCACGAAACCCAGAGCCCCAACCCTGACTCCTACACTCCTGTCCATACCTTGCATGCCCTTGAATCACCAGCTGGCTAGCATTATCAATGCCGCCTTCCAGATAAATTTGCCTCTGGTCTCCACTCCTTCACCCATCTTGAGTCGCAAACAAGCTCTTTTATGCCTTTCCTACACAATGCGATCATGATGTTTCTAGTGCAAGAAACTGCCATTCTAAAAAGCAGTCTGTCTGATGTGTACCTTTGCCGTGTTGTCGGCGATGTCAATGTATGTGTATGTGTATATGTATATACATACATATGCATATATGTATATGTAGACACACATATACATATATATATATATATATACATGTCGTTCGGCTGAACTGGGCTACATGTAGTTCAGCCTCATGGCTTCGATTGGACGACTTGGGAGCGTAAGGACTTTGCTATTTGTGCACTAAGCCGGCGGAAGACGCCGGAGCGTTGGTCCTGCAATCTTCTGCAAGGTCACGGCTGGGCTAGTAGATGCCATTTCCGGACCTGACAGCATTTCGCCCTCAGCTTCTGCCTTCAACCCGAGCGTAAATAGTTGGACTGGGCCGCTGAACATTATAAGGTCACAAAGTCAAAACGCACAAGCACGCTCTCAAACGATTGTATCATGACCGACATCGCTCACTGCGAACTGAGACTGAGTCCGCACTGGTTTTCAGCGCATGGTCGCAAGGCCGTGCGATAGCTTGCAGGATTTAGGCTTGGAGGTTTAGAGTTTTGGTGTGGGCTGCTGCAGTTGCATGCATCGGGGGGGCGCTGCCCCTAAAGACCTCTGAAATCTCATCAGTCTGTAGCAGGTGCAGGAAGCTCGAAGGACACGACTGCGATTCTCTATCTGTTGTGACGTACAGCTAGCTCCATGGTCCACGAACTCTTGTTTGCGTTGAACACTGCTAGAGAAGATCGGGGCACACCTGCCGTGGTGTCCCTCTGCTTGGACACTGCGCTATCACATGGTGGCTAAACTGACTTATATATTGATATACAGCGCTGTGAGATGGATTGCAGCGGGCGGAGATGCTAAGATCGGCAAATTCCCAGCAGTCCAAATGGGCTGAATACCCAACATCCTCGGATTCAGAGCTTATGGTCATGAAGGAATTCTGAGGCAAATGCTGCATGCAGCACTGTCGAACCAGAGAAGAAATCTGCGATCTAATTGAAAGGGTACTAAAGCAAACCCCTGCGGAAGGGCTCGATAATCCGTCGAGGCCTCGGGCCGGAGGTGTATAGGTTGTGAGAACAGGCACCCCCCTCCAAATCGTCCGCAAACGCCCCTCCCACCAGCAAACCTCCCCTGCCCCGCCCCCCCTCCCCCCTTCCCCCCTTCCCCCCACTCCCCCTACCTTCCCTTGAGGGGCCTGGCTCAACCCTACGATCAATCCAAGCCCAAAAAACCCTAAAGCCTAAACCCCAAAGCGTGAACCTTGAGCCCGAAGCCCTCAATCCTAAACTAACCCTCAACCCTAAACCCCAAACCATAAACCATAAACCCGGAACCCTAAACCCTAAACCCAACCCTTATTGCTTGGGGTCCAGCGACTTGGGCGCTGCGGAATCACCATGCTCACGCGGATGCGCTGGGCCGGGCCGAGGCGGGTCGCGTAGCGTTAAAATTAGTCTCGACTGCTACAGCTTGGGGCTTTCCAGGACAATCGCTGAGAAGGCCATCAAGGAGGAGGGGCAACAGCCGTTAATGGCTGCAGCATCGGGCACACATGCTGTGATCCGAGTTTATTATCTTACCATTCCCTAAACCCTAAACCCTAAACCCTAAACCCTGAACCCTGAACCCTGAACCCTGAACCCTAAATTCTAAACCCTTTTTACAATCAATAGACATTCGGCCTTCTTTCATGCCTCGCGTGTGAAACCTCCAAGCAAGCGCCCGCTGCGGCGGTTGGCACTGCGAACAGGCAAGGATCCAAGATGTGCCAGCAACTTGGGTTCGGCCTTGGGTTTAGGGTTTAGGGTTTAGAGTTTAGGGTTTAGGGTTTAGGCTTTAGGCTTTAGGGTTTAGGGCTTAGGGCTTAGGGTGTTCCTCCTTACACTAACAGCCCTGGGGATTCTAGTAGGGGGGGTACTGCAATCCCTATGAAGGGACTGTATTAGTATAAGGGGGGAGCATCCCCAAGGTTAGGGTTGCAGAAGCCTATTCACCCAAGAGCGAAGTCAGCATGTGCTGGCAGTTCATCTGGAGGCGGTCCGACGATGGAAAGACCTGTAAGGGGTTTAGGGTTTAGGGTTTGGGGTTTCGGGTTTAGGGTTGAGGGTTTAGGGTTGATGGAAAGACCTGCAGAGCACACGTAGCGGCTTGGAAGCAAGCACTCTGCATCGTTTATCCTTACGCTGCTTCTTCCACAGGTCTAGAAAGCTTTGAGTTTAGGCGTTCCTCTCCTGCATGATCTTCATCACCGTGTTGACCGCTTCCTCCGAGTTCGGCGCCTCACTTGGCTCCACCTGAGGGCTGTTACTGCGATGGGGACTGGGTAGGAGTCAGGGTGTCAAGGGTGCAGTTGCATGAAGACAGCGACATTGTTTGAGGTGCGAAACAATCTGAGACGGCACTATTTGCTCCTGGGTTCCCTTTTCTGAGACCCCCTGTGAAATCTGCATCCATAAGAGGTGCGGATCGTTCCAAGCTTCCCCATCCAGATCTAGGAACACGGAGCAGGCTTTCGCTTGTCGGACACTTGACTTGGAGGTAGGTCCGGTTATTGCATCTCCCATTGCGTGGCCATGGTGCTTTGTCGTTGGCCTGCTCATTGAGTTGCTCCATATGGGCGGTGCTTTCAGCCCTTGATTGGAGTATGCCGTGTGATCTGGGGAACCAAACTGTTCAAAACCCACCAAACAAAAAACCTAGTTGACATGTGGTACCTCTGTGATAGTAGTCATTTGCTTCATGACTTGCCTTCGAGATTGCATAAAACATTGACATGCATGACCAAGCATTACATCGGCATGCCGGCTACCTTTAAGAGCTCTATACTCAAATTGCTAATTGCAGGCTATCGTGCAACTGCTTGCTCGATGATTCTGTATACTCTGTTCATGCCGCCGTCCTGGAAGGAACACCACGACGATGATGCTATGTAGGCCGCTTGGCCGCAAGAACAACGACGACGTACATCTTTAACCCCCTGCCCCCCCATGCCCCCAACTACAAGCCTCGCCACCTCCTCCCATTCAAACGCCACCCTGAGACACGGCATCGGCGCCCACCATCGTGGAAAACTTTTTAGGGGCTGAGGTTAGAAGCCTGCCTTCAACTGTACAACCCGGAAAGCCCTCACCCTAAACCCTAAACCCTAAACCCTGAGCCCCTGGCTTCTTCTAAAGGAGGCATGTCGTCCGTTTTGTCCTGGGCCTGCTTGGGAGGCAGCGCATCCAGGGGCTTAAGCTGGAAGTCTGATCTTCCTGTGTGACTAGCACCCATGGGTACCTGGCAGGGGTAAACCCTAAACCCCAAACCCCAAACCCTAAACCCTAAACAGGTCTCCGGCATCCTGTATTGGAGCTGGGCGGTTGCATGCTCGACCAGCGGCACTCAGCAGAGTTTACCGGCTGGGCGCAGGCTCGGGCGCGTGCCAGGTACCCAGCGCCACCCTTGCGCGTCAGGCGCTTCCCTGGCACTTTGGCTGCATCTGCTTGGCTTGCAGTTTCCATGTCCCAGACAGTGTGTCAATCTCTTACCTTCCTTATAACCCTGCTGCATCCTGCTACCAATGGTCTTCTCTTTGGCTGGGCATAGACATCGACGAATTACCTGGACCCTCCCCGCGCCGAGGCAGTCTGCCAAGCACCGCTGCACCGTGGGAGGTGAGGGGTCGATCCTGGCAATCTCGATGACTTAAGTACAGAGACCGGGGGGGGGGATGAGGGGGGAGGGCGGGGGGGCGAGGAGGGAGAGAATTTCGTTAAGTTGCCAAGCTGCCTGGAGATTCAGGCGTTGGGGGTAACTACCTACACTTCTTCGGGCCTATGGACATACACACGGTATGGACAGGGGTCATGCTGGTTCCGATGGCTGCATGGATCGTGTCATCTATTTGGCAAGCGCGGCGGCGAGGCAGCATGAGATGCAGCACAGAGGACGTGCAGCTCGAAGCAATCTGCAGATTTCGCGCGACTTGGTTCCGAGGATGGTGGATCTGAGACATGGAACTATCAGGCGCCCTAAGCCCTGCCCAGACATCCATCGCTACTCCCTACATAGCCCCGACAACCCCGAAAACCCTAAACCCTGAACCCTAAACCCTAAACCCTATCAGGGCACGGGTGCCTCCTCTGCTTCGGTCAGATCGATGACCTGTGGTTCGAATCTGCATGTGCACGGGTTTAGGGTTTAGGGTTTAGGGTTTAGGGTTCAGGGTTTAGGGTTTAGGGTTTAGGGTTTAGGGTTTAGGGTTTAGCGTTTAGGGTTTAGGGTGGGAGAAGTGGAGGGAGAACAGCAGCCCCAAAGCGGGAGAGGCCTAAACCCTGAACCCTAACCCTGAACCCTAAACCCTGAGCCCTAAACCCTAAACCCTCCAGGTAAAGACCTCAATCCTCAACTACACGTGCAGCCAACCAGCACCCTTCCCATCCTCAAAGCCTAAAACCTTCAATGCACAACCCACTTTTGTCCCAACAAAGTTAGTAACTCAAAAACTGAGAATTGGGATGTTCCCCCTTATACTAGCAGTCCTTAACGGGGTTCTAATGGGGCGGGGAGGTACTACAATCCACAATCCCTACTAAGGACTCTTAGTACAAGGGTGAACATGCCAAACTGAGAGCGGGAAAAACCCTAAACCCTAAACCCTAAACCCGCTGAGACCCTGAGGCATGCTGAGACTGAGGCCCGGCAGCCGGATCCCCGAAGAGGCTTCGAGAAGTCCAGGTGCCCCTGAGTGGGCGCCGGTCCAGCTTCTTGGGGTTTTGAAGGGTTTAGGATGGTTTCGGAGTGGTTTTGGAGTGGTTGGAGTGGTTTTGGAGTGGTTTGGGATGGTTTAGGATGGTTTGGGAGTGGTTTGGGATGGTTTGGGATGGTTTGGGAGTGGTTTTGGAGTGGTTTGGGATGGTTTGGGATGGTTTGGAATGGTTTGGGAACGGTTTTGGAGAGTATCTTGAGAGGGATTTCTCTTTTGATCCTCCTCTGCGGAAGAAGGCCGAGTCGGGGTGGGGGACCCAAAGAGCCCAATGCCCCTTAATTGAGGAAGGTGCCTCAAATCATAATAAGAATCCCTTTAAAAAATTAGAGACATATGCCTTAACTAAGGGGTATGGGGCTCCCAGGGGAGCGAGGTGGGAGGCCGAGGGTGCGAGCGCTCGGCCTCGACGGCATCGAGCATCGTGGACACCAGCGCCGCCTCAAGTCGAAACCTAAGGGCCTGAGGAAGGCCCTTTAAACCCTAAACCCCACCCTAAACCCTAAACCCTAAACCCGAAACCCTAAACCCTAGACCCTAAACCCTAGACCCTACTAAAAGCCCAAGCCCCATTCCTTCCCCCCTAGGACCTTGGACACCTCCCAGCAAACAGCCTTGATTTATGTGCATTAAACAGGCTGTTTTGGGCTTCGGCATGTTGAGGATTGCGGACATCCCAAGCGGCGTCGGCATGTCAGAAACAGCCTTCTGGGAACCCTAAACCCTAAACCCTAAACCCTAAACCCTAAACCAGGGCTGTATTGCACATTCAGCGTGCGGCTGTTGTGTCTGAGCGAGTGTTCTACCATACTGCGCTTTTGGAGGCGAATGTCATCATTCACATGCTCTCTCCAGTCCGTCGAAAACGACGCCTGGGTTCATTCAAGTTACACTACCCTAAACCCTAAACCCCGAAACCCTATAAACCCTACACCCTAGCACAGATGCGACATCCAAAAAGATGACACGAAGCCTTCTCAACTTGGAGTTGAATTGGAGTTGGTACCTTGGGATGTTCCCCCTTATACTCATACAGTCCTTTTATAGGAGGTATAGTACCCCCCCCCCCCCCCCCACTATAATCCCTACTTAAGGACTGTTGGAAATTAGAAAAAGGGGGGAACATCCCAATTGAAACCATTTTTTTGATACCCCTGTGCTCCGCCGAGCAGCCACAAACTCTGGCAGCAGCGGAGCATCCTTGTGAGCTGTCTCGGAGTGAGAAGGGCAGGGACGTTCTTTTCTGGGATGTTGCCTATAAGATGTTGGGGTGGAGGGATGCTTTTGAGGTCCTTGAGGGTTTGAGGATGTTTTGGGGAGGCTTGGGGATCTGTTGGGATTGGGAGACTGGCTTCGGGCGCCTAAAGGCAAGCGCTTCTGCCAACTTTTCGGTGCGAAGGCAAACACGGGGCATCGAGGTACATCAGCGACAGTCGTACGTCGAGCGCAGGAAGACCCTTGAGGATCCCCTAGAGAGGCTCAGCCCACCTCGGCAGACCAGTAGCCGGCTCGCGCTACGGCCTCAGGTTCCGAATTCCAGGTTTGATGCTGTCCGGAGACGCCTCAAAGCTGGGAATTGAGCGATTCAATTGACCAAATGCCCCAAACCCTGCCAGCATGGGCGATTATACCCTATAGCCCCTTAAAAGAGGCCCTTTATAGGGTTGATTATGGGGATTGTGGGGCCTAATCGCCCATCCTGGTAAACCCTGGACGAGCCCCCGGCGCGCACAGCCTCGATGTGAGCATCGAGACCTCGATGGTGGGGCGTTTTGCTTTGGATGGGGTTTCGTTGTTTTTGTTTCAGTACAGTAAACCCCAAAAAGTTGGAAACCTTTTTAAGGACAAATAGTGCTGGGATTCCCTATACTTTAGGGATTGAGGCTATTGAGTTCCCAACTTTTGGCTTCTACTATAGGCCTGTTAGGGTTTGACAATCTGACTTACGGCTCGAATCCCAGAATCACCAGAATCTCACACTGAAATTCTGAAGCTCGCCTGCGGGAATCTCTTTCGCAGTCGTGCTCCGAAGTCGCTGGCACGCAACGAAGCATCAAACCCCAAACCCCAAACCCTAAAACCCTAAAACCCAAACCCTAAACCCCAAACCCTAAACCCTAAACCCTAGCCCTAAACCCTAAACCCTGTAAACTTCGGTGCCACAAAGAGCCCCGCTGTGTGTCTCTGGGAGCGAACCCAGAGGCTGCTGCTGCAGAAACCTCGGGTTTAGGGTTTAGGGTTTAGGGTTTAGGGTTTAGGGTTTAGGATTTAGGATTTAGGGGGTAGGGGGTAGGGATGTGGGGAGATAGGGCCGAAAAGTCTCATACCTCAAAATGCTAGTCAAGGATTTCATTGATTTCAGTGGGACTTCCGGCGTGCTGATGTATGTCACCTCAGAGCCCATCATAAGAACCCCAATCGGCGTGAGGAAACCTTAATGTCCTCTGGTTAGCCTTTTTAGGAACCCCCTTGGGTTTAGGGTTTAGGGTTTAGGGTTTAGGGTTTAGGGTTTAGGGTTTAGGGTTTAGGGTTTAGGGTTTAGGGTTTAGGGTTTAGGGCAGTTAAGCAACCAGGAGCCAACACTCTTACAACCCGACTGCCAATCATGTGTTGTCGGACCGGCGTCGTAGCAGTTGAGCTGCGACTTGTGCTCACTGCGCTCTGGGTGTGCCACCACACCACCAATTGGTAGGATGACTCAAAGAGGACCGTCAGAGCCTTCAGACCCACCACGCATGTGCTTCCAAAGGGCGTCTGAACGTGCTACCTGCCTGGCTACATGCTGGCTCATCGTCAGGAGACGGCTTGTTGAAGATAAGCGAGAGGAGCTTCAGACCAGTGTAACTGTACCCTTTGAACAAGTTGAATTCAAGTTTTCATCCAGCCTCTTGGACTCACAGGATGTACGGGGTCATCCGGTTTGGGAGTCTTAGTTGCTAATGATTTGGGGCTTCCTGGCGAAAGTGATGACAGAGTGCTCCAATCCGTCCAGTCCGTCTTTTTCGTCCGCACAGCGTGTGCCCCACAGAAGCCCACACGTTGTCATAACACTCCCACACAGACATGAAAAGAATAAAGCAGCAGCCACCATAATCAGATCCCAGCTACCATTGCAGAAGCGCGACATCAAACTTGACGCGCCTTTAGCAGCTTCCTGCCCAGGCGCTCGTCCTCACGACAGGGAGCGGTGGGGCGAGGCGGGCAAGGAACATGGGCAAAACCCCCCCCCCCCCCCCTAAACCCTCAACCCTCAACCCTAAACCCTCAACCCGCCCCCCCAGGCCCACCCATGCAGTACCCGACCCAAGAGCAAGCTGCAAAAGTTGCCTTCATGGCAAACTTCTCAAAGGCACCGGAGAAGAGCTCAATCGCCTGGGTCCCCGCAGCTTCCAAGAACTATACCTTTTCTTGGAACCTGAATAAAAAAATATTTTTAACTACCTCTTGGGTTTTATATAAAACAAAACTCGAAAAATAATGCCCAAGGGGGATATAGAGACTGCCAGGGCTTGGGGTGCAAGAGGCGAGGGCTGGGCTGCTGGGCTGCTGGGCTGCTGGGCTCTGCGAGGCAGACTCGAGAGATCAGGGCTTCGCCCCCAGATTATATACTATTTTAGGGTTTCGGGTTTAGGGTTTAGGGTTTAGGGCGGTTTTTAGGGTATATAAGGGGTACCCCCATTTTCGGAAATCCCCACTTCCGTGCAGCTTTTTTGAAGCCAAAAGCTGGCCTCCTGCTGCATCTGAGGATGGTCGCTGAGGGGATCTGATACGATGCCTGGGGCAGACAGCGCTCCCTCTGCTGGTACATTTGGGGTTTAGGGTTTAGGGTTGAGGGTTTAGGCTTTAGGGTTTAGGGTTTAGGGGTACCCCTTGTATATACCCCAAAATAGAATAGCATCTCCTTAAAGGGACCCCCAAAAAGGGTACCCCTATTTTCGTAAGCAAGCCCAGCTTCGAGGCATCCACGCCACAACATGACTCTAAATGGGGGGGGGGGGGTTTAGGGTTTAGGGTTTAGGGTTTGGGGTTTAGGGTTTAGGGCTTAGGGCTTAGGGTTTAGGGTTTACCCTTGGCGAGTTCCCAAAATAGGGAGTATACTATTTTGGAGGCATATTAAGGATACCCCCCCCCCCCCTATTGGGGGAAATGCCCAAATCAAAGCCTGTCTGTGCAGAGCCGCTTTCGGATGTTTCAGGGGGGCTGCGTGTGCCGCTTCCAGGCTGACGGGTATGAACCCGCCCTGCCGGCTGGCTGCCAAACTCCTGCACTCCAAAGCAGCCCGAACCTTGTGAAGACCCAAACCTTGCAGACTTCGAGCAATCCTCACCCTAAACCCTAAACCCTAAACCCTAAACCCTCAATTGAAGTCAGGGACCCCTTCGCCCCTTTTGGGGAGATGATAGCTCCATAGTCTCCTCAAACTGCATAGTTATAATGTAATTCTAATACATAAGCAGTTATATATTATAATTACAATGTAGTTACAACCCTTAACCCTAAACCCTGAACCAAATTCTACAAGGACCCCTTTGCCCCTTTTGAGGAATAATGCCACCTTAGAGATAATAGATGGGGTAATGGTTATTCCTATAGTTGTGTTGATAATGGGGTAGTAGTAGTGATATATCGGTGAAGTGTAGGGGGGATCCTAGGAATAATCATCTAATGGGTTGACGGTGGCCTTATTACCCAAAAGGGGCGAAGGGGTCCCTGACTAATGACCTCTACACCTGGGCTGCAGACTCTCGCACCCCACGAGCAGGATTTGCTTCACCTGGCACTAGGTGGGATGTTCCCCCCTCCCCCCTCATACTCACAGACCTTAATAGGGATTCTGCTAGGGGGTACTATGACCCCTATTTTGTTAGTATAAGGGGGAACAACATCCCAAGGCACCAGGTTAATGCCGGGCTTCAGGCAAAACAAACGTGTGGTTGAGGGTCTCTACTCTCTGTCGAGCGTGCACGCACACTGAACGTGCGCGTGCGCAAGTTGACCTTGCAAAACCAAGCCCATGAGAACCCGGTAGACCTCACTAGGTCCAGAACGCTCAGAACATTGCAATGGGGGAAAATGTGGGATGACTCTGCCACTACCTTCAGACGAAAGCCTGAAGCTTATGACTGCGAGCCACCTTTCTATCGCCTGAATGTCTCTGAGGATTCTGTGGTCTCTCTACGAGCTACCTGGCAGTGTGCAGGTGTACGTAGACTAGCCCAGTCACCTATAAGCCATCCTTCACTACAGTCATACACTCAACTCTAAAGACTCGAAGACTCTGAGTGTAAAAATCTCGCATCATCGCACCTGAACCCGTTAGCCGCTGCCTTCATGATCTTAAACCGTTTGGCTTCCCACACGCCAGGCCCTTCAAGTATCCAGCCCTTGTCAGCAGGGACTAGCCTCTGTGTAGTGCTTCATGCAGAAGAGACAGATGTGGCCATTCCGCTCGAACAGCGCTTGCAGCGTCTCATTGGCCTGCCGTGAACCCTCACACATCCTCACACTGCACTTCAAGAGCCGAACACACGCAAGAACGCAAACTGATGAACTCTAAACCGTAAACCCCTTAACCCTAAACCCTAAACCCCAAACCCTAAACCTTGGAGACCTTGAAAAAGCCCCCTGAGCCCAAATTGCACGAATCTGGTGGCCTTTTGCACCACGGCCGCCGAGGGTGGCTCTCGCCTCGGGTCACCGGTGGGTGGGTGCTTCCTACAACGCAAAACCAGACTGCATCACTGACTCGCGGCTGGGATAGTATTAAATGTTAATTTCTTATTCCGGATTGGGCTTAAAATCCACTTTAAAATGTAAAATGTTACCCAACTATGACAAAGCAATGCGTTAGCTCGGGTTTCGGGGTCAAGCTTTTAGGATGTTGCTTGGTCCTTTGGTCCCGCCCGCAAAGTTTGGTTCGAAGGAATGTGCCAAAACGGGTCAAGGAACCCCAAGAAGGCCAGCCATACTTTTGTGGGGGGGAGGGGGGGGCGAGGGGGGGGGGGGGGGTGCGGCGGGGGGCGGGGGCGGGCGCGGGTGGGCGGGGGGTGGGGGGCGGGCGGGGGGGGCTGCGGCGGTGCGGGGGGGCGGGGGGCGGGATACAACAGACGTCTGTTCTCAAACATTGTTGTTGAATTAAACCCATGGTCGGCCCGTGCGCCCTGAGCCCTGAACCTTGCTAAAACGCATGAAAATTCTACAATGCTACAAAGATACTGGTATGGCCCTCAACGGCAATCTCGCAGAGTCTTCCCTTCCCCCCCCCGTTGCTTAAAGGGTCCGCTTAAAAGACCTTCAGTCGCAGAGTGTCATGATACTTATTAACCAATCGTAACTGTACTTATGGCTGTACATATAACCATATTAGGGCACTTGAGGGGCTGTCGCACAGAGGCCGGAACAGTTCAACCCCTGCCGCGGGTGCATCGATGAGCTCTGCAAGGACGTCCACTACGCCTGGGCTTTGAAGGGGCCTCAAGAACTAGTAGGGTTTCGGGGGATAGTATAACTACAGAGGGACCAAAAAGGATTCCAAAAACTACAAAGGGACCATAATGGAATACTCTTAGTCGTTATTCCGACCCCGATATTGCAGAATCTTGCGGCGTAAGGCTTTGGAAAAAAAGCTGCTGGGGGTTTCGATGGCAGTCCCAGCTGCCTGCCGACGCCAAGCGCACAGGTGCTGCCCCGGGATCCAGGGCCTCCGCCTCTGGACTTGCGGACCATCGAATGTTCTAAATCAGGTTTAGGGTTTAGGGCTTAGGGCTTAGGGCTTAGGGTTTAGGGTTTAGGGTTTAGGGTTTAGGGTTTAGGGTGTGGGTTTAGGGTTTAGGGTTTAGGGTTTAGGGTTTAGGGTTTAGGGTTTAGGGTTTAGGGTTTAGGGTTTAGGGTTTAGGGTTTAGGTTTTATGGTTTAGGGTTTAGGGTTTAGGGTTTAGGGTTTAGGGTTTAGGGTTTAGGGTTTAGGGTTTAGGGTTTAGGGTTTAGGGTTTAGGGTTTAGGGGTAAGGGTTTAGGGTTTAGGGTTTAGGGTTTAGGGTTTAGGGTTTAGGGTTTAGGGTTTAGGGTTTAGGGTTTAGGGTTTAGGGTTTAGGGTTTTTTTTAACAACCCTTCACTCCTTTTCGGGCGAGCTTACAGCTAGGGTAGGTTACGAAACCGGAAAGCAATGCCCCTCAGTACTCCGGGTTTAGGGTTTAGGGTTTAGGGTTTAGGGTTTAGGGTTTAGGGTTTAGGGTTTAGGGTTTAGGGTTTAGGGTTTAGGGGGCTTTCGGAGATGGCCCACAAGGGTTTCCGGAAGTTTGGGGCTGAGGAGTAGCCCTTCGCTGCCCTTTTTAGGGTTTAGGGTTTAGGGTTTAGGGTTTAGGGTTTAGGGTTTAGGGTCCCAAGGTGTGCTGGAGCCCTGGATTGGGCCTGGAGTTCTTGGGGGAGGGTGCGGTAGCTCCAAAACACTGCACGTTTCTGCAAAGCGCAATCGGTTCGTTGAAGCCTCTTCCGTAAAGCCCCCACAAGCTCTCCGGAAACCCCTAAACTCTACACCCTCAACCCTGCTTTGGTTGTCTAAGGCTTTTCTGCATACCCGGCCTTGGTCTGTGCCGCCCGAATGCAGGACCAGTGTGAACTTGGCTTTGAGGTTTTGAAGCTTCCATACGGGCTGGGGGGGGGAGGGGGGGTTCTAAGAGTTTTGGGGTACAGGGAGTATAAGGGGGGTATAAGGGGGGCCAGGGCAGCTCTTCATATAGAAGCTAAAGTTGGGGCGTTCCAGAGTTAAAATGTTTGGCTGAGACAATTGGTAGGCTTTTCCACAGCCGTGAAAGCGATCCTGTTCGGTGTGTAAAGTACGGGGCTTGCAAAAGCTTGGGAATTTTGCTAAACCCTAAACCCTAGACCCTAAACCCTAAACCCTAAACCCTAAACCCTAAACCCTGAAGCAATGCCGGCCGCAGGGCACTATGCCTGTGATCGGCGTCTTAGTTTGAGACAACTTCACTACTAATTGCTTATTAAGGGTAATATAGGGATTATTATTCTTTTAATTCTTTTGGGGTTCTTAAGCAAATAGTGGTTCAGTAGATGGGCCAAACAAACTAACAGCCTCAAGCCCACAGCGGGTCCGTATGAGCAGTGAAGCCTCCATCTCCCTGCGCCCTATGGGGACGAAAGCAGACCCGAACCACAATGAACACACCTGGCTGGGCATCAGCTGGGTGCTTCACAGCACGTGCAAGCACACCTGCGAGGAAGGGGTTTAGGGTTTAGGGTTTAGGGTTTAGGGTTTAGGGTAGCAGAAGTAACTGCTTCAAGATTCCGTTGTCTGGAGCTCGGGGTGGGCACAGAGGAAGCCAGAAAAATCACATTCACAAAAGCGGAGAAGCAAATCAGAAAACCCGAAAAAGCCAGAACAGGAAGTTCAGCTAACGATGAGAAAACAAATACAGCGTGATGAAATCAGAAAGTGGCTATCCCTCAGCCCGGCCAAAAACCTGCAAAGCTTATAACCCCTACGTACGAAACCCGAAAAAGCTAAGCCCGAGCCCTGAGACCCTGACAACAAACATATGTTTGTTGTGGTTTTATCATTACTGTTGCGCGTGCAGGGCGCTTGTTGCGGCGGGGTTCCTGTGGGGTGGGGGGGGTGTTTGCCGCGGCTGGTGGTTGCATTTTTGTGGCTTGGCGGGGTTCCTTGGGGACATCAAAAACTTCGGTGGTCACGTTTGGCGATATTTCCGATGCTACGAAAGGCCTTACTTTTTGGTAGGAGTTGAGCACCAGCCTCAAAGCAGGACCCTTGTTTCCTCTATTGTCGTACGCAGACGCGACTCGGATGAAAGCATGAACTCCAGGACACGCCGCAACTGCGCCAGCCGTCACGGTTTCAAGTGTGGTTGGAGCTTTCGGAAGGGTGCGGCTGCCATCCTAAGCCTTGCGCGAAGCCCCTCAGCTGCAAGACAGCGGAACTGGGACCCTAAACCCTAAACCCTAAACCCTAAACCCTAAACCCTAAACCCTAAACCCAAAACTGGCTGCCATCCTAAACCTTGCGCGAAGACAGCGGAAGTGTGCAAGTTCCGAAAATTCCGCGCCTCCAGGCAGAAGGTGATGTAGGACCTGGGCTTGAACGGGGGTGTGGAGGTCAACAAGTGGGGGTCCGATGTGTCGGAAGTGGGACCCTAAACCCTAAACCCTAAACCCTAAACCCTAAACCCTAAACCCTAAACCCTAACCCTAAACCCAAACCCTAAACCCTAAACCCTAAACCCTAAACCCTAAACCCTAAACCCTGTGACCCTGTGACCCAAGGGTCACCCTAAGGATCTTGCCAGCCGTCAACTGGCAGCTTCTCCTCTGCAAGGTGCTGAAAGGCCACCTGACGTCGAGTTGGGACGGCCTGCTACAACACCAAACATTCGCAAGTTAGGGTTTAGGGTTTAGGGTTTACGGTTTAGGGTTTAGGGTTTGGGGTTTGGGGTTTGGGGTTTGGGGTTTAGGGCTTAGGGTTACAGAGTTGTCATCGCTACTGCAAGCTGTCGCGCTGGCTGAAATGCTTCTAGGCGAAGGATGCATACAGTTTCAGGCACGCGGGCCTTGTTGAAGCCACTCGATGCACCAAATCCACAAACCCTAAACCCTCAACCCGAAACCCTAAACCCTAAACCCTAACCCTAAACCCTAAACCGAAATCCCAAGTTCCACCGCTGTACGACCCCCAACTTGGCCTCCACCTCGGGAACGGAGTCTGCGCCGCTCTCGGACCGCTCGTAGCCGCGAAGCAGCAACTGCCATCCGTGACATTGTTCGCCCTTGTACTAATAGGGTTTAGGGTTTAGGGTTTAGGGCTTAGGGTTTGGGGTTTAGGGTTTGGGGTTTAGGGCTTAGGGTTTAGGGTTTAGGGCTTAGGGTTTAGGGACAGCTCCTTAATAGGGATTATAGTAGGGAGCTACGATAATCGCCATTAAGGAATGAGCAGATGCATCAAGTGAATGTGAGATGAACCGAGCAGAAAAGAGAAAGCGGCATCGACAGAGCCCAGAACCCTGCACGAAGCAATTACAAGATGTATCAATGCAGCGCCACTAGCGCTGCACTGGGTTTCGGATACACCACAGGATTGTAGCCCTCTGCCTCTGAGGCCGTTGTCTGTTAGCACTTCTGTTGACACACAGAAAGCCTATGAGACATCGTGTTCAAGATGGTAGCGTGGGCTGCAAGATGTTCCGAAAAGAGTTTGGCTGCAAAAGTCCCCCGGAGCCCTGCCTGCAGGCACGCAACCATGACCGGAATGACATTGTTTTCGGCATAGTTGACAGCCATTTGCAGCCTGCTTCTGACTTCTTACACCAGGTGACAGGATCCCTCGAAAGAGGCACACACACAGCTTGGGCTATGGCGGGCTATACATCGCAGCAGCTCACTGTAAAATACGCAGGATCAATGATCATAGACTGATAGCACGAAGCTCTGGATCTCGCGGAGGTGCTTGGGGGCCAACTAAAACCTAAAAGCACGACTGAGCCCTGGGTCCCAGACACCTCTAAGGATCCTTGATTGAGGATTGAGGTTTGATGCCACAACGAACGCGAAAAGCAGGGACCTGCTGCAACCGGGCAAACGAACGAGTGTGCGCTCGCGATAAATTCGAGCAACTACCCACCTCAGCTGCGCATTCTGATGTACGGTCGCCAATGCCTGGCTGGAAGGTGAAGGAGGATCCTAAACCCGAAGCCCATGCAAAGTCCTCGAGCAATGGTCCAAAACCATCACCACAACCTCTCACTTTGCAAAGCAAGGCGCGATCCGAGTAAGTGCCTCGGACTCCTGGTATTCCTCCAGGGAAGCACAACAAGGATATGCCAGCACAGGGTTGCAGGACATGCAGCTCAACAGTCGGGGTCAAGCGCTCGGGCCGGTCAGTCTGTGTTGTCCGTTCCTACGTTGTCCTGGAGGAGGGCTGAAAACGCAAAAAACACTGCAGCTCCAGCGCCGGCACATCTGGCGAAGGTTGCGTAAGCTACGGTGAAAAGCCCCTGCACGTGGAATGCCAGGTGCGGGCAGCAGGAGCAGGAGTAGCAGTAGTAGCAGTAGTAGCAGTAGTAGCAGTAGTAGCAGTAGTAGCAGTAGTAGCAGTAGTAGCAGTAGTAGCAGTAGTAGCAGTAGTAGCAGTAGTAGCAGTAGTAGTAGTAGTAGTCGTCGTAGTAGCAGTAGTAGTAGTAGTAGTAGTAGTAGTAGTAGTAGTAGCAGTAGCAGGAGTAGCAGTAGCAGGAGTAGCAGTAGCAGTAGCAGTAGCAGGAGCAGTAGCAGTAGCAGTAGTAGTAGTAGTAGTAGCAGCAGCAGCAGCAGCAGCAGTAGTAGTAGTAGTAGTAGTAGTAGTAGTAGTAGTAGTAGCAGTAGTAGTAGTTGTAGTGGTCGTCGTAGTAGTAGTAGTAGTAGTAGTAGTAGTAGTAGTAGTAGTAGTAGTAGTAGTAGTAGTAGTAGTAGTAGTAGTAGTAGTAGTAGTAGTAGTAGTAGTAGTAGTAGTAGTAGGCTCCACATAATAGTCATATAGTCTTAGCAGTAGTAACGAACCTAAAGGTATGAGTGGCCAGTGGTGGAAGAAGCAACCATAGGAACAACAAGCAATAACATTAATTCTTTCGTGAACAAGTAGTCTTCAAATGTTCGTAGACGGAGGAAGCGATACAATCGCAAGATTAAGAGTCGTCGTAGCAAACGCAAGATACACTTCGAGACCGAAGCCCAGATTGCTTATCCTAGGTTGGACCGGCGAACGGCCCGAAACGTTGGTGCCTCCAAGCGCGCTAGCAGTCTTTGCGGCGGCAGCTTCAGAAACAGTGACTGCAAAAGGGCGGCCACCTCTGCAAGTTCAATCTGGTTGTTGGCCTTTGGGGTGTCTAGCGCCTCTTTCTCTGTAAAGCATGCATACATCCAGGCCCTTGCATATGAATGGCCATACGTGAAATGTCAAAAAATGGCCGGTGCCCTGGTTCTTTCGTGTCACTGAACAGGACGGGGCACTGCATGATTCACGGCGACACAAAAAAATGATTGAAGTCCTCTTAGTCTGGTATTAGTAACATGCTTGGGTGTTGCTCTGGATGTGTGGCACAATGACATCAGTTAGGCCCCTTGACCCAGAATCCTTTGCTGCACATTCGAAAACAAAAATGGAGCAAGTTCTGTGGACTCTGAATCTGTGACCATCCGCCTTGCGCAACACTGATAAAGAGCCGCACTGCCCAGGGTTCGCATCCTGACAGGTCCAGGATTTACTTTTGCTCCACTCTGGCTCTTGCCGTTATATTACCGAGATCCAAACAACATCAAGCTGCCGTCAAGCCTCCATGTGGGCTCGGCGATTTGAAGGGTTCTTAGCCCAAAGAAGTACTGCAGTCAGAACCTTTGTTAGTCTTTGAGGGTTCGGGCACGCAAAGCTTCTTGAGTAACAAAGCTGGACAAGATTTCGAGGACGCGAACTCTGAGGATGGGAGCCGAGAGGGATTATTGACTTCTTAACTTTGAGCCCTCCCGATTTCCCCACATCCTCCTTACACCCCCCCAGGCCACTTTAAAATTCAATGAGGCTTAAATATCCTACCTTGTATGATTTAGGGTTTAGGGTTTCGAGTTTAGTACCCCAAAGGCTTCAGAGACTTTGCGGTGCGACACAGCTGCTGGGTCCTCCAGCGTCTGCCGCTGGTGGAAGGCCCATAAGGATAACACCTGCAAAGCATCTGGGGGGGTTTACGATATTCGGGGTACCTAGGGGGATATTCGGGGTAGATGTACCTTCTTGGGGTCCTCATACTAAGGGGATCCTACTATTTGGGGATCATTGGGGATCTAGTTTAGGGTCCCCTATTCTGGTAAGCCCCCCAGCTCTTTTTAGCGTTGGAAAGCTGAGGGATTTGGGCCGTTTCGAGTCCCCAAGCGAAGAATTCTATAGAATCTTCGTGAGGGTCAGGGGGCCTGGTGTTTCGGCGTTGTGGGCGTTGGTTCGGCCCTTCCTTGGGGGAGGTAGTCTTCATATCAATGTAGTCCTTGAGCCAAACCTCTCGGACTTGAGCAGTACTCTCCACCACTCGTCTCAAATCCCACCTTGCCGACGACGTCGAACTCACTCTCCAAGCGACGGAAGGTTCCGCGCCTGCCAAGATCTAGGTATCAGGTCAACTATTCTCAAGAGCACGTATGAGTTGTGCTGCTCAGGCAGGCGTTGCAGCAGGTAGGGAGTGCGTGAGCCAAGTGAAACGCCCGTAAAAGCCAGCGTTTTGAGTTGAAGACGGCACGGTCTTTGGACTGATTCTTGCTGCAATGCACTGATTTTTTGCGCACTCGTGCTGCAATTTGAGCCTAGTAACAAGCGCTTCTTTGTATCAAGGCGATTTACTGCCAAGTTCTTGAAAGCTGCACCATCACTTTCAATGACATACACCACTCTCCACGGTTCATAACTGTTTCGGCCGGAAGAAACTTTAGTGCTTTCGTACCGTCGACAGTCGATTCCCCAACCTGGTCAGAAACATCACCCAACCATAAAGTCATGAAGTCTGCTTCAACTCCGGGATCAGCTTTCGACTATGAGCCCCAAATGGGGCTATCACTGCAGGAACCTCTGCTGCTCCAGGCTTTGCAGCTCATCCAGCACCTTGCCGCAGCCGCGGCAGCCGAGCCGCTCTATAGGGTTTAGGGTTTAGGGTTTAGGTTTAGGGTTACATACACACATACACACACATACACACAGACACACACACACACACACACACACACACACACACACACACACACAGAGACACACACACACACACCCACGCACGCACGCACGCACGCACGCACACACGCACGCACGCACGCACGCGCGCGCGCGCGCGCGCGCGCTCGCATGTACTAGGGCATGTGCTTCAGGCTTGCTTCGAAACATGGACTATGCTCTGCAGCCGAAGGCTATCTAGCTCCTTACCAGCCTCTAGCTCATGGTGGCTGCTAGCCTCTCATACATACTTCGGGTTTGGAGCTTGGGCTACTTGGGTTGCCTAGGGCCGGTTTCGGGCCTCCCGGGTATGTCTTGTGAGGGGTTGAGGGCAATCCTGAAGATGGCAGAGTCGCCATCTCTCAGTCCTTTTCGGTCCTTTTCTCTGTGGCTTCAAGTTGTCAAGGCGTGTCAGGGATTCAGGATCCCAAGGATTCGGTGGCGTCAGGCAGCCGACTGCCAACGGGAACGTGAGAACGTGACTTGCAGACCCGAGCCCGCGACCGAGGGGAGGGGGGGGGGGGGGGGTTTCCCAAGCTTGAAGTCATGCGGGGTCAACAAGTTTGTCATGGTGTGTAGAGTCTGGGGCAGAAAGCTCAAGCAGCATCCGACCCCTTTCGCGCTGAGAACTGGAACGAAATGCAGGCTCAGACCGCAAGCGACAGTTTTCAAGCAGATGCTCAACATCTGCATTTCTCATGAAGAGTTCACATCCGATTAAAACATCACTTCCACTGCTCAAACATTTTTGAAGTTTGGCAGGAATGAGAGACCGCCAGCATCAAAACCAATAGAAGAAACTCTCAACCGGCTTTACCTAGCCGCCATACCCTGAAAGAACACATGCTGCAATCCCCACTTGCTGGGCCCTCTCTTCACAAATTTCACAATCAAACTCTCACAATTCAAAAGGAAGCGAACCTGCACGAAGCCTTCAAAGTTCAGTACTGAACTGAAGCGCGCTGCACCCCAAGGTACAACCAAATCAAGCCTGAGTTGGGGTGTCGAACATTAGGAACGCCATTGCTGAAAATCAAAATGCCGAAAGGGTCGCAAAATGGTTAAACCAAAAATGAAAACGAACAAGTTGCCAAAGATCAATCCAGAAACCCAAGCTCAGTGATAGACCCGTGCCCTTGCTCACCTCATCCTCCCTGGTCGGGGCAGCGACGCGAGCGGTCGACTTGCCGGTGACAACCAGAGTGCCTGTGAAGCCTGTGCTGGCGACGGCGGTGCTGATGGCTTCGGTCGTTTTCTGCAAGGACACCGTCTCAATTGCCACTTGCTTCTCGATGGCAGCTTCAACGCTTTCCATGACCACAGTGAAGATGGCCGTCAGCGTGGACGAAAGCTTCCTTGTCGAGCTCAGACGTCGATTCACAATGAAGTCCAGCGTCACGTCATCCGCATCCACGGCCATCACATCCGCGAACCCGTCAATCATGGCATCGGTCACGGTGCTGTTGTTGATGATCGACGGATCATCCACGGCCATGTCCATGGAGACTTCGAGGCTGCTGTAGACGGCTCCGCCCACGGGTGTTGTTGGGAACCAAACTATCGGGTCCTGAACGCTCGTGGTCGGGGTTGTGGGTATGAATGTCGTGGTGGACAGCGTGGACGTGGCCGACGTGGACGTGGCCGACGTCCACGTGGCCGACGTGGAAGTGGCCGACGTGGATGTGACCGACGTGGCTGTGGCCGTGGTCGAGGACGTGGATTTGGTTGTGGATGTGCGCGTGGATGTGTTCGTGGTGGTTGTGGCTGTGGTGGCCGTGGCCGTGTTTGTGGTGGTTGTGGCTGTGGTGGCCGTGGCCGTGGCCGTGGCCGTGGTGGTCGTGGTGACCGTGGCCGTGGTGGCCGTGGCCGTGGTGGCCGTGGCCGTGGTGGCCGCGGTGGTGCTGGTGGTCGTGACCATGGTGGTGGTGGGAGCCCGATATAACGTCAGGCCAGAATTGTCTGCTGCCAAAATCAGCGAGCCATCCCCTGAAATCTGCACATCCGACATAGTTCCGCGGGCCCAGATGGAACTCCAGGTGACACCATTGTCGTCGCTGTAAAGCATGGCGTACGGGTTGCCGGATCCTGGAGAAGCAACCATCTTCTGGCCATCATCCGAAATGCTCACTTGCTGGCATGCTCCACCACTGTTGGTCCAGGTTGTGCCATTGTCCACGCTGATGTAAATGTTTGAGTCCTTTCTGCACGCCACCATGGTCGAACCGTCCGCCGAGACGGCGACTGAACTCCAGTATTGTGAATGCGGTATGCCTCGGGAGTCCCAGTTGGAACCTCCGTCTACACTGACCTTGAGAGGTCCCCCCTGCGCCCCGTCTGCCGCGACGATCTTCATGCCAGTAGCAGAGAGGCTCACCGAGGTCCAAGAAGTGGAAGTGCCGGGCAAGGTGGCTCCATACCAGCTTGCACCATAACTCCCTGTCATCGTAAGGTATTGGGGTGTGCTGGAACCAGAGCCTGGGACTGCCGCGGCGATCCCAATCGCTCCGATTTTCGAGATGGCCAAATCCTTGAGCACAATGTTGGCAGTGCCCGCAGAATCAGACCAGGTGGCTCCGCCATCAGTGGAATGTTGCAGGTTGCAAGCATAAAGCTCACCACAGCCTTTCACCATGTAAGATCCATCTCCTGAAACCGACACTTTCTTCCACCAAGCGTAGTCTCCTCCCTCTTCCCAGCTCGCACCGCCATCTGAACTTGTCCAAGAACGTCCAGTTCCACCACCTCAAGGGACTATAAGTTATATTGATAATATATATATATATATGGGGGAATAAGATTAAGGGTCCCTTCTAGGGGTCCCTCCTTTTCTCCCCTAACCACCGACGACCGCTGCCAAGATCATCCCATCTGTCGAGCTGCCCACGCCCGTAACGGGTTTACCATTCAGGTCCGTCACTGCAACTCGTGTCCATTCACTGTTAACTCCCGAGACCGCCAGCAAAGCAAAGAGAGCGAACATGGCTGGAGACGGGAGGTCACAAGATTCCTGAACTTGAGTCAAGCTTTCCGGTTGTCATATTCTGGACTTTTGACAAAGGCAGGGGGAATACTCTAACCAGGCACCGGAAGCGTCGGGAAGGAGATGCTAATGAACTAGGAGAGCTGTCATGCGGAGTACTCTGCCTGTCACTGTAGCTTTCGATTTCTTGTATATATATATATATAATCATAATATTAATAAGAAGAAGAAGAAGAATGAGAATAATAACAACAATGATGATGATGATGATGATGATGATGATGATATATTATATTATACCATCTTATATTATATTATTTTATTTTATTTATTTTATGTTATGTTTTACTATATTATTTTATACTATACATTATATTGTATTATGTTATGGTATATTTTTATTATACTGTATTATATATGATACTATATGTAAAACTATATATAGACATATAAATATACAAACATATAAACATGTAAACATATAAACATATATACATATATAGATATATACATATATACATGTATACACATATACATACATACATACATACATACATACATACATACATACATGCATGCATGCATGCATGCATGCATGCATACATACATACATACATACATACATACATATATACATATATACATATATACATATATACATATATACATATAGACATATAGACATATAGACATATAGACATATATACATATATAGATATATACATATATAGATATATACATATTATATATATATATGGTGTCTACGTATCGTTCTGAGGTCCAAGAGTGCCCGCACAAAAATGGGCCGATGGCTTGAAGAAAACTTGCTCTATCTCCGCGGCTACTCGCTTGCGGACGCCAAACATCGAGTTTGCTTTAATGTTGTACCTGCTTTGGTGTGCGGACCCCCCCCCCCCCCCCCAGCTGGTTCTTGCCCTCTTTGCACAGTCCACGGGCTTCATATGACTTTAACAAGGAGGCGTTTATACACACTTAAACGGGACAGGGATGCCCGGCAATTGGTCTCCAAGGCCACGCCACACAAAAATATTGTTGCATCACCCCGAAGATTTGACTTCCTGGAGGATCAGCATCCCGCCAAAGAGTCACACGGTCCTGAATAGCCCGGCAAGCCCCCACTAAAGCGCGTCCCAACTGCGCCAATTCTCAGAAGCCTCCGAATTTAGATCCTGATCCAGTGTCCAAGCCTCGAGACAAACGAAGGTGTCCCCGACGAAGGAATCTCCGAGGGCGAAGGAGCAAAGCTCCAAGTTGCCGCTGAACCTCACTTCAATGGGCTGAACTTCTTTGGGGCTTTACGAAAATAGGGGGCCGCTAAGAAATGAATCCCAAGTAGTAGGATTCCCCTATCATAAGGACCCCCATAAGGTACTGTACCCCTAATATCGCAATTAAGCCCCCTATTGAAGCCGGAATGTTCCCATCGGGCGTGGTTGCGGGCTTAGGACCGGCGTCTGCCGCGAAGACAGCTAGAGAGCATAGCAAGAGGAGGGCATGCAAGGGTCCGAACTTACATGGATGCTCGCTTCTCTGCCCGGTGGCCTGGCGGCCACACTGAAGAGTGTTGCGCTGAACCAGAAGCAAAAAGCTAAGCAGGCTCAAGTCGCTTAGGTGTTTAGGGCTGAGTGTGATTTAGATGTTTAGACATGTTGAGGACTTGGCCCATCGGATCTCAGGATATAGGACTGCATCGCCTTCTTCTCGCCGCTCCAAAGCACAGGTCGAGCTGTGACTGAGACGCAGGGGCAGGGGCTGAGTTACTCTACGCCTGAGCTCCCGGCACCATGCGAATGGCACTCTGCACTGCCTGCTCGGGCACCCGGCGACACACAAGTTGTGTCCCAAAACCCTAAACTCTAAACCCTAAACCCTAAACCCTAAACGCTAAACCCTAAACCCTAAACCCTAAACCCTAAACCCTAAACCCTAAATGCGACTTTTGGAAGACTGTCCATGTGGGCACAGTCTTCTAGGGCTGTAGAGCGTGTCCTGGAGGGCTCGTGCATGGGTTTAGGGTTTAGGGTTTAGGGTTTAGGGTTTAGGGTTTAGGGTTTAGGGTTTAGGGTTTAAGGTTTAGGGTTTAGGGTTTAGGGTCGTTCAGTGCAGTGACTCATGGCCTTGGCGAGCGTGGGGTCCAGCTGATCTCCTCCTGTTCGGCTCTGAAACCACTTCTAAGTTACGTGCTTCTAGGGTTCAGGGTTTAGGGTTTCGGGTTGCTGTCCAAAGGGTCACCAGCAGAAGAGGTCAGGATATCCAAGGCAATGTTGCTTCTCGGCTGTACCCCTCAAGATTCGAACTGGGGAATCACCCAGATCAGTCTAAGCTTTTGCCTCCGAGACGGCCGAACACCAAGTTAAGGGTTTAGGGTTTAGGGTTTAGGGTTTAGGGTTTAGGGTTTAGGGTTTAGGGTTTAGGGTTTAGGGTTTAGGGTTCCGCAGACGAAAGCCCTAAAGCTTTTTTGAATTTCATGCGCAACAATGCGCATGACGAGACCCTAACTACCAATGAAACCAATAGGCTCAGTAGCAGAAAGACGTTCGACTGAAACCCCCGTCCCCTAACAGGACTATACTCCCCCTAGAACCTTAATACAAAAATATTCTTAATATCCTCTTGGGTTCTGTATAAACAAAAATGAAACATAATTCCCTTGGCCAAGGGGGATATAGTGGAAAGAGAACCCTGAGTGTGGTCGTCACCCTGCGTCTGAATGCTGCACGCCCGGCACTCCAGGCAACCCGAGAATGTCTCAACTTTGTGCAGCTGCAGCAGGTCCTTTCTTTGCAACGACACGCTGTCGTGCCAGCGCAAAAGAGTGTATTGCGCCGCTGTCGAGGCATGCCTACAGGAGACGAAGTCATTTTGAAGGAGCTGGGGCTGTCAGCGTGCGATCTTAGCCCGGTACTATCTCAAAAACAAGCCCAAGAGAAAGACGTTCGCTGTTTATAGATTTGAAGAGGTATGCTGTTAGAAGACTTAAAAAGGTATCGGTATGAGAACCTAAATACATCCAACAGGGTCAGCAAGACAAAGGGGCCCCTGAATGGGCTACGCAGTGACCCTGCTGCCCCTGTAAGGATAAGCTCTACGTATCCTGAGAGTCGCGCTACTGCAGCAAAACTACAACTAGCTACTGGGCACATCCCTGCTGGCCAGCACTTGCACAATGAATGCTCCGGGTCCCTGTGGGGCTTAACATCAGGGACTTGTACGAGGGCTTGTGAAGGCTTCACCATGCGCCTGCTGTATCCAGGACTCCATCGGCAATAGCGGTATCAGCTGCACACTCTTCAAGATCACAGCCTGCAGGCTACAGCAACAAAACCCCAAAGACATTCACATCATTGAACATGTAGGACTTGGGGGGCCAAGGCTTGGCGCTCGATCTCGTTGATTGGAAAGAATGAAAACTTCAAGTTTCGAGGTGGAGTCTCTGCTTTCTGCCATCTGTCAAGATCTCAAACGTCAGAAGTACTATTTGCGAGAGTGCCCAGAAGAGGACCCATCAATCTCGTAATCCAACCAAGTCAACTAGGACGTCGGAGTCTTTGGAGTTCATGGTGCCCAAGACCCCAGATTTACCTGTGCCTAGACTCAACCACACACAAACAGAGACACGCACCCACCCACCCACCCACGCACGCATCGCATCGCACGTACCCATTTTGAAGATGCCACTGCCACACTCGCAGTCGCCTGGGATAGGCGGTCTAGCTCTGTTCTGAGCCTGCATTCAAAAGACCTTCTGCGTGTTCACTCACTGTCCCTCAGCCCCTGGCATTGTGCAATCCTGAAACGTTCGAAGCTTAGGGAACCCCTAAACCCTAAACCCTAAACCCTAAACCCTAAACCCTAAACCCTAAACCCTAAACCCTAAACCCTAAACCCTAAACCCTGCAGAGCAGATGCCATCGACAAGGTTGCCTCTGCAGGGAGCTCAGACTCGGTGAGGAGCCTACTAATGACCGCCTGGGCGCACAGGGAGCGCGTTGGCGCATTTGAACTCTCAAGATCACCTTCTGCATTTCCTCAAGCTTGTGTTTTCCTGTGTTTGCCATTGAAACGTCACAGGCCTCATGCTTCGGCCCTTTAGATCCCAGACCCCGGCCCTACGCAACCCCGGCCCCCCAAACAACCCCCCCCCCCCCCCGGGCAAAGCGCAACATGTGAGCAAGCCGAGTTGATGACATTCAGCAGAGTCTTCACGAACTCCTGCAGCCAAAGGCAGCCAAAGTGATCTTTTAGGGTTTAGGGTTTAGGGTTTAGGGCTTAGGGTTTAGGGTTTAGGGTTTAAGGCTTCGGGTTCCGGGTCGAGACTGCACGTAGTCCAGTGTACAGGCACATCGCAGCGAACGGATAGCGGTCAGCTGCCTACTGACAAGCTTTGCCTCAAGCAATGTCTGCGAAATCTCCAGACTGTATCTTAAATATATTAAGCCTCCAACAAGTCCTTTGAAGCCCAACCAACCGCCAATGCCTCCAACGCCGCCAACAACGCCGCCAACAGACAACCGCCAACCCCGCTGCAGCAACGACTGGAAGCTGACTGAAGTGCAGTTGTGATCTGTAGAGTTGAAGGTCAACAATCTTCCTGCACCTCCAAAGGCAAACAGGTCATTTTCGCGTGCTTCCCGCAACTCATGGTTTCTATTCCAAATTTGGACATACGTCCTGCTAAGGGCTCGGGTAAGGGCTCGGGCATCGAATTAATGTAGGGTATCGTTCCTACTAAAACACTAGTAGGGAAACCCCAAAGACAAGCAACCGCACTCTAAGCCTCGATAGACTAACATACACATGTTTCGACTTGAACACAATCGCACCTGGCTCTGCTGCTTCTGCCGCAGCCAAGGCTCCACCGCGGGCCTACGGCGGCTGTACGATTGCGTGATTGATTGTGATTGGATTAGGAGGGATGGTGTGAGGGCAGGTGCGCCTACGTAGGGTTTTGGGGAAGTTTGGGAGGATCTCAGGGCTGGGAAGGGACGCGCAGGTTGAAGATGTTTAAGCCTTTGCAAGTGCATTAGCCGCAACTTCAGGATCGATAGCAATGACAGGGCTTTGAAATTCGGAGCTTACAAGGGGTGGGGGTTCGGGGCGCTTTAGGGACGCTCGTTCTTCGGGCTTTTGAGCCCAAAAGCCCGAAATTTCCCAAAGCCCATGGCCTCATGCACTGCAACCCCCCAAAGGCTGAAACACCCCTGCTGAGTCGCCGGCAGCAGCAGGGCCAAAAGAGACAACAGCCAGGTAATGAGCTTTGCGGGAGTGGGTCCCGCCCCCTGGCTCAAGCAGGATCGCAGCTGGGCATATCAATGATGTCACCTTCAGTGGCTGCGTTGTGCAAGTTGCCCCGAGAAGTGGGCTGCCTGGAATTTTGTCCCCCGAATTTAGGGGTACCTTATTGGGGTCCTCATTATAGGGGAATCCTACTATGTGGGATCTTTTTTGGGGTTCCTATTTTCGCCAAACCCCCACATCTCTATACCCGAAACCCTAAACCCTAAACCCTAAACCCTAGCCCCTAATAAGCCTCCAACCCTGAACCCTAACCCTAAACCCTAAACCCTAAAACCAAAACCATAAACCCTAAACCCTGACCTAAACCCTAAACCCTACAACCCTAAGCAGCCCCGGAGCGCCGGCCTGAGGAGCAGCGGCAGTCTGGGCCTCGCTCAGCTGAGCGCTCGCGGCCAGCACGGCCTGACATGCGAGTGTAGGGTCTAAGGGTTTAGGGTTTAGGGTTTAGGGTTTAGGGTTTAGGGTTTAGGGTTTAGGGTTTAGTATGAGGGTTTACAGGGTTTAGAGGGTTTATAGGGTTTATAGGGTTTAGAGTGTTAGAGGGTTTAGAGGGTTTATAGGGTTGAGGGTTTGGGGTTGGAGTTTGGGCGCATCCTTGCGAAGCCCTGAGAATCAGAGCATGCCATGTCTCTTGGGGGCTTCGCCGGGGGATGGGGATCCCGAACCCATCTGCTGACCCATCGCAAACCCTTTGGAGGGGAGCCCTAAACCCTAAACCCTAAACCCTAAACCCTAAACCCTAAACCGTGCCTAAACCCTAAGCAAACCCTAAACCCCCGGCTGCTCCTCAAGTATCGCCTTCATAAGCACCAGGATAAGGACTGCCACGTCGGGGCACCGGCATCATGCACAACGCTTTTATGCCCAAATGGGCCCGTGACTGTCCCAGGTGACTTCAGGCACTTTCTTGATCACGTTTGCATCACGTTGTTGATCGGAAGCCGGGCAGTGTTCATTTCCACGCTGCATGCCGCCAAACATTCAACCCTCTTCCTAAGCCCGAAACCCGAAACCCTTCCCCTGCCCCCCCCCCCCTCCCCCACTAAAGAAAAAATATTTTACTTCGAACATCCCCACCCTCTCTTGGTAGAGATACTCTGGGGTTGGGCACTCCAGGGACACTCTGGGCACGAGACTTGGGGTTGGGCACTCCAGAAAAAAACTCCGCTGACACTCTGGGGTTAGGGAGACTCTGGGTTGGGCACTCCAGGGAGACTCGGGGCCAGGGAGACTCTGGGGCTGTGGGGACACTCTGGGTTGGGCACTCTGGGGAGACTCTGGGGCTGGGCACTCCAGGGAGACTCACTCTGAGGTCGGGCACTCCAGGGAGACTCTGGGGTTGTCCAGGGACACTCTAGAATTGGGTCCCTGAACCGGGCGAGGAGAAGAGTTCCGGGCGAGGAGCAGAGTTGAGCTTAAAATCTAACAAGCCCACACGGAGGGTGGGGAAAAACTGGACTTCTACTCACCACACTCTCCCTTCCTTCGACCCACTGGTCGACACAATCCCATCCCACAGCTCTCCAAAACAAAAAAATGGCTGGCCTCGTAGGGTCTTCGAAGCCAGTCTAGTTTGCAGGAACGACGTGCCCAACCCATTTTGCGGCACGGCCACCTCCATGCTTTTCTTCCGTCAGTAACGGGCGCCTGCCTGAGCAGAGCCCCGTATGGGGGCTCACGATAATAAGGGGCCTCGAATATCGACCCCAGATAGTAGGATCCCTTCTAAGAAGGACTCCAAAAAGGTACCTCTGATATTATCGTAAACCCTAAACCCTAAACCCTAAACCCCCATATCCTCCTATAACCGAACATCGTTCGTTGCCTCCGCGGCGCTGCGCACCACCGCCTGGGGAAGCAGCTGCTGCGCTGAGGGCTCCTGCAAGGCATTCTGGGAGCTTCGGGTTTAGGGTTTAGGGTTTAGGGTTTAGGGTTTAGGGTTTAGGGTTTAGGGCCGCCCCCAAGCCAGCGAATACTCGAAAAATCTTGCAAAAATGCCACCAAATGCCACCAAATACCCTGTGAAAGATAATCCGACATTGTCTGAAAACTTGTAGATGCAAACTGACTGTTGGTTGCGGAACTGAGTTAGAAAACGGGCTTGAGGATGGTTGGGGGGTGGTGGACGCATCTTAACTAAGATCGGTAGAGAAATCGCCGTTGCTGAGAAACAGCGCCTATGCCAGCTGACTTCTGCACCCTTATGCTGTAAGCGCAGGATCTGTGTTGGATCGGAGGCAGGTTGGCACAACCACTGCTATAAACAACTACGGGTTTAGGGTTTAGGGTTTAGGGTTTAGGGTTTAGGGTTTAGGGTTTAGGGTTTAGGGTTTAGGGTTTAGGGTTTAGGGTTTAGGGTTTAGGGTCTGCCATGCTGGGGCTGTCGCAGCCAGAAGGACCGACAGGAACTGCGACGCCTGAGAAGTGCGGGGTTTGGAGGGGGAAGGCCAACTTCGCAAACCCTAAACCCTAAACCCTAAACCCTAAACCCTCAACCCTAAACCCTAAACCAAGAAACATTGAAAGCCTTGCTGACATGGGAGATGGTGGGTGGATTCTGGAGACCCCACACAAACCCCAAGCTGGCTTATAGGCTCAACCCGTGAGGCAAACCCAGCCATCGCCTGTAAGGGATTGAGGTCTTATTAGCATTACGATTGTTATTCTTCTTCTTCTTCTTATCATCATCATTACTATCACTATTGTCATTTTTAGTACTATTCTTATTATTTAATTATTATTCTTATTCTTATTCTTATTCTTATTCTTATTCTTATTCTCATTATTCTTATTATCAGTATTAGTAGTAGTAACCAAGGAGTAGCAAGCCAGGGCGCCTTTAGCAGCAAGTTCCAGTTGGCCTGATGGTTGGCGAAGACTGCGATGGCAGCCTGCGCGGGCGGCTGGCTTTGAAAGACGTGTGCTTTCCCAGAGACTCCAAAATCCCATAATTAAGGAATGTCCCGTAAATTTGTAATAGGAACCCTAGTATGGTTTAAGGCATATTCCTTGATTAAGGGGTTTTGGAGTTTCTGAGTTATCAAGTCTGGTTCGTTCAGCATGCTGGGGGTGGACAACCTCTGCAGAAGAAAAAAGAAAAAAAGCGGAACACCGCAGAGATTGGAAGGGGTGAAGGCTTGGAGTCGGTGGAAGGATGGTTTTTGTCTGTAGCTGCCTTCTGCCTTTCTTTTGCCATGGTCGCTACAGGCTTGCGGATGCTTCCGCTTCTGTGGCACCACGTGCAAAAAACTACTTACTATAGGGCATCTGTTCAGGCAGTGCATGCAACCCTAAACCCTAAACCCAAACCCTAAACCCTATTACCGCCCCAGAAGGCCCTGCGGTAGCTCCCACATTCGGTCCCCAGTACAAAATACTCGTGTTCAACAACTGGCCCCCCAACCCGCGTACAGCGTCTTCCAACTGACAGAAAGCCAGGAGTCCATCCCTTAGCAAAGGCTTCAAAGCCGGCAAATCCCTGGGTTGAAAACGCTGACAGCTAACCTGCAGCGAATGGCGGTCAGTGTCTTCGAACCTCGAGGCTCCGCCTCATCGCCGGCGACGCGTCTGCGCTGGCCGCGCCGGCCTCCGTGAGCTCTTTGGCTTCTTGGGCCACGAGCAGTTCGGGTTGCTAACTTGTGGTATAAGTTTGGGCCTGAGGTGCCTTGGGGCTTGGGTTCCTGGGCTTGTCTTGGGGCCATGGAAGATGAAGGCTTTTGGCAAGGGGCATACACATTCTCTCGGCAGCCAGGACCCAGTTTGCCTAAGCCAAGTCGTGATTTCCATCATGCCCAGGTCCCGCTAACCCTAAACCCTAAACCCTAAACCCTAAACCATGCGGGCGACGTGCTTCGTGCTTCGCCTGCGTCTGCTGTGCGAAGAGGAACTCGATGCCACGAAGTTGCAGCGCCTCGTCCTGACCAGCCCGGTCCCACATCCCCTACACCACATCCCCAGTATCCTGCTCTTTGGGGCTTCAAGGCATTGCCAGGCGACATCAAACAGTCTGCGATGAAGAATGAAGTTTGGGTGAAAGCAAGCTGCTAACCCTCACAGAACCCTTCCAGCCCCACTTGACTCCGTGCGTGGATTTCTGACTCCAAACCACGACCCCGAAAGCTCAGAATTCCGTGCAAGCCCATCATGGGCAGTCCTTCGGGAAGCGAAGCATCTCATCCACGATGTCGCCAGACCCCTCTCCATCAAGTTTCAGACACCAGTGCTTCTCATGAATCTCAGGTTGCCATATGTCGCGGTCGGTCTTATGGGGACATAGCTGCAGTCAGGGTGCAGACCCCAAGTAGTCCTGACCAAACTCAAACTGCCAAATCGCGAAAGTGCAAAAGGGAACCCCAATCAGCACCCCTAAACCCTACACCCTAAACCCGAAACCCTAAACCCAAAGAATCTCGCCTCCTCTTGCACCGAGGCTTCAGCCGGTGCCTGCTCGATGTGTTTGTTGGTGCGCATCCGGCTGTTGGGATCCAGGAGGGTTTGGGCTTAGGGTTTAGGCTTTAGGGCTTAGGGTTTAGGGTTTAGGTTTTAGGGTTTAGGGTTTAGGGTTTTGGGTTTCGGGTTTAGGGTTTTGGGTTTTGGGTTTAGGAGTTCAATGGCTAGCCGAAACTACTTGATGTGGGGCGCGGCTTTGGGCGCGGGTTATGGTGCATGTTGCGAGTCCTAAACTCGAGTTGTAAGCTCATTCATGATTTCCGGGCTTCCGGAAATTACTTTTTGTGGAACAGGTTTTGGGCTTGCAGTGTTGTTTGGGGCTTGCCGAAATTTCTTTTTGAGAATACGTGCTTCGGATTTTTGAAGCTTCAAATTTTTGCTTGCGCTGCACTGGTGTTTGAGGGGCTTGCTCAAGTTAATTTCTTACTGTATTGCGGGCTTCCCGAAAACTTCCTTTTGAGAATACATGTTCTTCAGGTGTTCATGATTGCTTTGGGAGCAGTTATAAGGATCGAGGGTTTGGCCTTGCACTGCCTGGGACTGTGCTTGGACAGGTTTAGGGAAGATGTGTTGAGGTCTTTCGCATGCACTGTGCGACTTTGGGCTTGCGCTGCTGGTGGAGACAAACAGCAATGCAAAAGAAAATCGAAAAGAAGCTGCGAAATGTGCAAAAACCCAGGCAAACCGACACGTAGTAGAGAAATGAGGAAGAAGCAAACAAAAAACTCAGAAGTGTAAAATACTTGTAAAATACAGTCCCAATCGCGTGCGGAACTGTCGCAAATAGTGACCGCGGCCAAACCCGCGCCGCATTCCAACTACTTTCCATTGGGCTCAAAGTTCACAGCATACGTAAAAGCCAAAGCCCATGTGAAACGCAGGAGCCCCCTGATTCCGTGGAAACCTCTGACTACGTTTGCCAAGCCAGCATTCATGACAGGAGGTAGGCATACGCTGGATCTCTGGAAGGCAAATTTGGGCTCGGAGAGGTCTAACGCGACTCCATAGCGGAACCCTTCTCGACTCCTCGACTTTCTAGTAGCTGCCCAGCAACACACGTGCTTGCTACAAGCAAGGGAGGCTTGTTCGACTTGAATGTTGCAGCTGATTGCTGTTGCACTACTTCCGACTCTCTTGTTGATCTTTGCCAGTTGTATGAATCAACGGCCGACAAGCATCAAGTCTAGAAGTACCATTCTGACAGCCACGCAACAACGACTTCGCAATGACTTCGCAATGACCTAATTGCGAAGAACCTTTCCAAAACTCCCAAAGCACTTGCCGAGCAATCTGCCTCGGGCTGTCGCAGCCCAAGGCCCTACCCTCCCCAAATGGGGGTTTCCGAAATTAGGGGTACCTTCTTGGGGGCCCCCCAATTTTCGTACACCCCCGACACGTTCCTTCAAACCGTCTTGCAGAAGCCTCGGTAGGCACCCGCGAAAGCTTCTGCAGCCGTCCTTGTAGCACCTCGATCTCTTCGCCTTCAGCTCGAGGGCGCTTCTGCGCCCGCGTAGCGTGTTTGAGACGCCGAGTTCAGCTGCAGGGGCCCCCAAGTCTGAATGCTCTCTTGCCCACTGCGGCGCTAGGCTTCAGAACTGTTGTGACTATGCACGCTGCTTACAAGGCTTGAGGTTGTATTTTGAAAGGGACATATGGTTGAGACTCAGGGAGCAGGCTTCTTCCATGCGTACTTAGAGGTCGGTGGTTATGGGGAAGCTGTTTTTCACATGTCAAACATGGCTAAGCCATCCCGTGCTACTTCATCCTCTACGGACATACAAAGCACCGTTATATACAGCTACGAACCGCTATTTCCAGCACGGGAATCCTCAAAATCCCAAACCTCAAGTCCAGTCCCGGAGAGACGACGTGGCTTTCGGCGTGCATCCCCGGATCTCTCGAGGAAACCCAAGTGAATATCAAGGCCCAAACCAGGCTCCGTACATCCTAGCAGGTCCTGAACACCCGAAGCACCTTCCCAAAAGCACCTCCAGACCTCCTCCAGACCTCCTCCTAAAATTGGGGTCATATACCTTACACTACTATAGTTCCTATTAAGGTCTTATGGTTCATCTAACCTTAGAATAGCTATGATAGTCGTAGACCTCAACTCTGCACCTTCTGTTGTGTTCCTCACAGCCCTCGGCCATCGACCGCCAGGGCTTCGGGCGCATGCGCTCTCGCTCGGCCTGCCATTCGCTTCGCTCCTGCGGGTTTGAACCGGCTTGAAGGGGGTCCAGTCTCCTAGGGGAACCAAGGGGAACCTTTGGGATGATATAGGGGTTCTAATACTCCAAGAGGTTGCCTGCTCTACTACCAAGGGTTGAAGGGGGATTCAGGCTTTGGGCCTCTGATGAATGGTTTGCTGCAGGTTTCTGGGGCTTGGGATTTCAGATGTTGGTGTTTGTTCAGAATTCCGGGCTGACTAAGCTAGGCCTTTATTTGAGGGCTCTGGCTCGGATTGGACTGCCAGTCGCAGGGCTCCGAGGTGCAAGGATGAGTGATGAGGGGCTGGAGTTGTTCTACCAGGATCCAAAGCAACTGATTGCGAAGAGAGAGAGAGAGAGGAAGAACCAGAGAAAAAACACGGCTTCTGCAGCACTTGATGAACTTTGGAGTGAGATGGTCCAGCAATTCTCTGATGTGGTGTTCTTATGCATCCGCATCGCTGGGCTGCGGCCCCAGGGCGCGATCGTGCTTTTGGGATTTGGCGCGCATGCCACGAGGTTCTCCTTTGGAATAGGATCTAAACCTAGCATGCTCGGGACGAGGTTGACGCATAACTCTTCTGCAGCAATCTAAAGAAGCCTTCTCAGCATGGATTGCAGCTGCATGGGGTCCAGGTTGGTGGCCTCTCTTGGTGTCTCACTCTGAAGGGGGGGTTTCCAAAGAGGTACTTTTTATGCAGAGCAGTGATGGCAGTGCCTTTAGTCCGCAACCAGAAAGGGCTCGCCAAATCATGGATAGAGGTCTCTGGCCGCACAAAGCCCCAAAGCGTCCGGAACCTCAACGCAGCGCAGTGCCCTCAACTCGTCATCTCCTCAAAAGCCCCCCTAAACCCTAAACCTTAAACCCTAAACCCTAAAGTGGAAATCCCAGCGGACCTTGAGCAGGGCCTCAACCTGCTCACGGAGAGCTGTCACCTCACCGTCAGGCCGCTCAGGGATCTAGAGCTGCAGGCCCCCACGGCGATTGAACCACAGGAACGATGGCGGCAAGGAAAAATGTCCCATTTCAAACCTTAGAACACCCTGGAATGTAGAATTCACCCAGCTGCAGGGTGGGCAGAGGGAGTCAGAGGTCTTGAGCTTGGCAGTCTAGACACCGGCACAGTGCTTCGCCACCAAGGCCCCATGCTTGGAATAAGGGGTGTTGAAAAAAGTGCTGTGATGTAACCCTAAACCCTAAACCCTAAACCCTAAACCCTAAACCCTAAACCCTAAACCCTAAACCCTAAACCCTTACTGCTTATGTTGGTGCTGGCATTGTCTAGAATGTCCAGACTTGGGCGTTTGCGAAGACCTGCGTGCCGAACCCTGAAGTGCCAAGAGGGACCCGTAGCACCTCATCCTCGGCCATGGCTCCTCCACACCTGTGCCGGCCGGATGTTCGCGGCTCTTGGGGCTTTGCACGAGGCTTCTCCTGATATCTCCTGATAGGTACCTAAGTAGCCCTAACCCTAAACCCTAAACCCTAAACCCTAAACCCTAAACCCTAAACCGTGCTGAGTCTTTCATCACCAACCCCGAAGTGATCAATGCCAGGCCAAGCATTGTCCACGCAATGAAAGGGACCGCAACAGATGATGCGAGCCACCTCTTCTGTCTTCCTTCAACCCAGAGCCGCCAAAACCTCTTAGTTAAGGCATGTACCTTCACTCATATTAGGGCTCCTATTATGATTTAAGGGATACTCCTTAATTGAGGAGTTTACGTTAAATCATTCATTAGGGTTCCTGTTGTAATTCTTAAGGGATATTCCTTAATTCCGGGGTTTTGGAATCTCTGGGAATATCCACCTAGAGGCTGTCAGCAAGGATGGACTAGGGTGGCATGAGCCCTTTCATGTCACTTGCTCCCAGTGCCTGGATCAAGGCGGCGTGAGAAACATCAAGGGCGGCACAGCTCGCGTAGCCCGAATGGTTTAGGGTTTAGGGCTTAGGGCTTAGGGATGAGGGGTTTAGGGTCTAGGGCCGTGACTACAGTGTGGGTACAGTACGGGGTAGACAACAGCTTTGCATTGAAGGCCGCTCGGTAGAACAGGTGTGCTTCACAGATTCAGGAGGCTTGGCGGAGGGATGTCTCAGCGTCCAATCTTTGGGAGTGCGAGAGCTGAGAACTTCAGGCCTCATGGACCTTTGCTCTGTGGATCTTGGTTTATCGCCGGGGCTGGCATGCAGATGGCCGCTCCGAATACTGTTTGCAACAGTCCGTGACTTGCCTTCTGGAGAATCTTGAGCCGAGAGCATTGCAAACTCAAACCAAAGGGCACCGAGGCCGACGGGGCCAGTGCCCCATTGCTACGCATCCCACAACATCAAACTTAGAGCCTTAGAGCCTTAGTTTGAGCCTTAGAGCCTTAGAGCCTTAGAGCCTTAGAGCCTTTGAGCCTTTGAGCCTTAGAGCCTTAGAGCCTTAGAGCCTTAGAGCCTTAGAGCCTTAGAGCCTTAGAGCCTTAGAGCCTTAGAGGTCTAGAGGCCTAGAGCCCTAGACATCAATTATAACTGAGCTGACATAGCGAGCTTCTCAAGCAACAAAGTGCTAGTCACCTGGGTTCCAACACTCCCTCGGGGCTCCCTAAGCTTCCGTGGACACCTCCCCCGCAGGCCTGATGCTAAGGAGGGAATGACGGCCGGTGAGGTGCCGCAACTTGCTTTCTGCCATGAGCCACGGCATCCGACGGCATTGCCGAAGCATTCCATGAGGGCAGCCCCAAAGGAACGGATGCTTTGCACAGACTCGAGAAGGGAGGCTTCCTCCGATCCTGTGCTGTTTGGGGACCAGCGAGTAAGACACGAACCTATCTAAGCAAGAACCACCGGACTGCTAATCCCCACATATCCCTATATAATACAAAGGTCAAAACCTCCCAGAACCCTAAAACCCTCTTCTCGTTCGATTGCCCCGCCCCCCCCAGGGTTCGATCTCACAGTCTTCGACTACGCCTAAGAATTTGCCCAAGAGCCCAAGCGTAACTTAAGGAAGATTCCTTACATCATGATAAGGATCCCTTTATGATTTACGCTATATTCCTTAACTAAGGGGTGTTGGGCTCTCTGGCTGGGTAGGCACGAAGCCCCAGACAAAGATTCCCGTTTTCGGAGGATCTTGAAGCGGTTAAAATGACGCCGCAAGCGAGCTAAACGAATGCAGACAGCCTGCTGCTGCAAAGGTCCGTGCGTTTTGACTCAGACCGCAAGCAACACAAATAGAGGGTGTCTGCACCATGACATTGCATGGCGGCATTACGGCTAGCCGCTTCGGAGTGACAGTAGCATTAATGATAGCTGCGGAGCGGCTACCGTAGGGTGTGAAAGCTGTTCAGCTTCCACAGGGTTTCATCGCAAGAGGATCACATGCAAGCCTCGAGTCACCTGCGACTGACACAAGCTCAAGTTCAACAACCCTTTAAAACCTACCCTAAATAATGTTCGCAGGAGGCCTGGAGTGATTCCGTGCCTTTGCTGCAACTGGGCCACGCCCTCCTCTTAAACTCTCGGAGGCCACGACCAGGGAAGCAGCTCGACCGGTTATGGGATTTGAGGCTAGATCCTCATAGTATTCCGGGCGGCTTGCGGCCTTGGGCGTGTGGCCTGCACGCATTCTGCGGGACGACGTTTCAAATCTTCGTTTCCCTACTGACTGGTGTAACGTTGAGCTGAAGATGTCAGGGCACAGGAAATGGCTTTCGAACTTTCCCCGGAGGCTGGAGCTTCCTGGCACCTGACATACCCAAGCTCAAAAGAGAAGACTGGGAGGTCCAAGGAAGCTTGTTGCTACCGAAGGAATTTCGACGTGGATTTTCGACAGCCCAGGACCTCAATTGATGCCTACAGCGGGATTCAAGCGAGAGTCCAATGTCTATGACGACATATGCCACTCTACTAGTGAAATGGAAAAGCGCAAGGCCCTTTCGCGAGGCAGAAGCCGCTTGATTTTCAAAGCTGGGCATTGACACGGGGCTTGGAGACTAGTTCCGGATCGGGTAAATGCCAGAGTAGGAATGTCAAGACAAGGTCTCTGCAAACGATATGACCTGGCGGTTTGCCTGCAGCCTCTCCCTCTCCCTCTCCCTCTCCCTCAGCAGAAATCATGCTTGCAAAAGCTCGCTGTCTAGGGGTGTTGACGCTGCAGAAGCTGCAGAAGCGCTTCTGTTCGTACAAACTGTCAGCGTTGCTTCTGCCACTACCGGCCCCAGGTCACAAGAGAACCATCGACACGAATTGCAGCAAACTCCGAGCCGTTAGCTTGGATCTGCTGCACACCCTTCAGCTCATCTTGGACAAGACTGCTGTCGCTGTCTCCCCAGGTCACAACAGTGCCATTGCCCAAAATGGCAGCAAAAGCACACGGAGATGCTTGGATCTGCTGCACGTCCTTAAGCTGACCTTGGACGGCACTGCTATTCCCACCACGGCCATCATCGCCCCAGGTCACAACAGACCCATCGCCCAGAATGGCAGCAAAAGCGTCGCTGGTAGCTTGGATCTGACGCACGTCCTTGAGCTGGTCTTCCACATCACTGCAGTCGCCACCGCTGCCTTCATCACCCCAGGTCACGACGGACCCATCGCCCAGAACGGCTGCAAATGCGAAGTCGGTAGCTTGGATCTGCTGCACGTGCTGCAGCCTATGTTATGCGTCACTGCTGTCGCCGCCACTGAAACAACGGCCCCAGGTCACAACAGACCCATCGCCCCGAATGGCAGCAAACGACACCAAAGTTGCTTGGATCTGGCGCACGTCTTTAAGCTGATGATGGACCGCACTGCTGTCACCACCACGGGCTGCATTGCCCCAGGTCACAACGGACCCATCGCGCAGAATGGCAGCAAAAGCCGACATGGTAGCTTGGATCTGCTGCACGCCCTCGAGCTCATTTTGGACAGCTCTGCGGTCACCACCATTGTCAGTATCACCCCAGGTCACAACAGACCCATCACCGAGAACGGCAGCAAAAGCTGTGTTGTGGGCTTGGATCTGTCGCGCGTCCTTCAACTGGTCTTGCACAGCACTGCTGTCTCCACCATGGTCAGTGGAACCCCACGTGACCACAGACCCGTCGCCCAGAATGGCAGCAAATGCTTCCTCAGATGCCTGGATCTGCTTCACGTCCATCAGCTGATGTTGCACACCACGACAGTCCGCAGCGCCCCAGGTCACAACAGACCCATCGCCCAGTATAGCAGCAACGCCCACCCCAGATGCTTGGATCTGTCGCACATCCTGCAGCTGCCGTCTGATAGCCCCACCACCCCCCCCGCCGGGTGCCAAGGATCGCGGCAAAAGCAGCAATGTTGGTGTGAACAATGCTGCTCATCTGTAAGGTGAGCACATCACCGCTCCGCAACCTAGACTCCCCAAGAGTGGCTGCTGAATTCAGAATGCTTGCGGAAGAGTCTATGAGTCGGCTCCTGCCAACTTCCAAAGCCCTTTGAGCCCTGTTGTTGAACGAGGCTACCCACTCATCCTCTTCTGCTTCGAGCGACGCTGTCCTGCCGCTTAGCAGGCTCACCTGAATGGTAAGGGGCATGGTGCTACGCAGGCAACCCGCACTCCGACAATGGTTTTCGCCTTGGGCCAATCGCCTCAGTGTTCAAGGGCTTTAAGATTCATTCACACACGCCCGCGGTCGTAGCCCTATGAGTCTGTCTGATACATATATAATATATACATTCCCTATTTGTGCTGTGCTCCCTGCCCGACATCCGAGAGTGTGCACCAAATTCAGAACAACCCAAAACCCTCTCTCCCCCCCCCCCTCCCTCCCCCTCTTCCCCTCCTCCCCTCCCTCGGACTTCCCTCCCCGCAGGTCCGAACGAGGAGAAAGACCTGAGACTAACAAAGGTAAAGAAGAATGTCATTAGCAAACGTGTAAACAAACAAAAAGCAAACTTCTCACTCACTACGATATGGATGCGCAAAGCTTTGTATACCGGGAGGCTGGCTGTGGTTTCAAGCGGGCTCCCCATGTTTGCAAATGAGCCCCCCTCGCACCCCGAAGCCTGCAGGGTCAGCGGCCCGGCCAAAGATGCAGGGCACGAAGGAACTCCACAAAACCGATATGGGGGTGAGGGGGGGGGGGGGGGGGGGGGGGGGGGGGGGGGGGGGGGGGGGGGTGAGAAGGGAGGGGGAAGGGGCGGAGGGAGGGAGGGGCGGTTTCTTGCTTGACCGCTGCCTGGGACCGTCGTACATGCGCTTCAGGCTGGGCCTGTGTTCTTGCACCGCCTGACTCAGAGGCACTTTTTCCTGACTTGGGCGCCACTCCCATCATGTCTGAGATCATGCCTGAGGGTCTGGCGGTAGGGGTTGCATCGAATTTCTCAGACGGCTCTTAGGGTCGGTTTAACGTTGAGGGGCTAGGTCACGGTCTGCCTGCCCTCACACATGATGAGTGGAATGGCAGCGGCCTACATGGCATCTGCGACGGACTTCCTGCAACATGGCGGTTGTCACGAAAACGCTCCAAGAAGGCAATCAGAGAAATCTGCATCACGGCTTTCTGTGCAGGCGCTTGCTTTTTGCTGGTTGCTGGGCCTGCGGTCTTTCCCTATACCCGATGCTGCAATGTTCTTCGCAGAACAGCTTTTGCAGCCACTGGTCATCATCCAATCGAATTTTAGAGCACAAAACAATATGAGGCCTGCATGTGCGGCCGGGCCCCACACACGACCCCTGTGAGCATTATTTCGTATGTCGGTCAGATGGTGATGGTAGCCGCCTGGAAATACACAAGCCTGGCGGCCCCATGGGGAAGTACGCCATCATTGCCGTAAATGCAATCAATTTGGGCCTGCTCGCCCAGGAGCTTAGAAGTTATGTACATAGCTCAAGACCTGCGGCGTGCATCAGGAAGGCCTGCCAGCTACGTGGTGCCATGGACTCCCCTAAATATCGAAATTCAGGCGCGCTACAGAAGATTCGGGCCCCTATAACATGGTGCTGTGCTTCTTTCACATCCCATCCTGTGAATGCCAAGGGTGCAACCCTCGGCAAAGAGGCCAAGCCGTGAGCAGCAAGACCTGAGCAGAGTGGTTATTCTTGGACTCAGGGGGCAACCATCAACATGCTACTGTGCAACGGGATAAGGTCCCTCGTCCCTGAACAGACAGCCACTCAATCATGAGGGCATGTGGTTCAAGAACTGAGCCATGGGCCAAGCACAGAGAACTTCACCAGGACCGACGCAGACATCCTCCCACACCATAACCTTGCCTCCGACAACTGCCGGTAGACCCAGGCCCTTCGTCCAGTGCCCTCGCCCTCCTTGCCGAGACTTGCGGCCCGCGACGCCCCCGCACTTGCGAAGAGCAAACTTGCCACACTTGGAGATCTGCTGTCTATCGCTCCTGGTCAACGCACTCGCCTCCGGCCCGAAAGGGACCAGCGTCCCCTCGTGGTAGTGGCAGCCCATGCTTGTGCGATTCGCCGATGCAGTGTATTTCTCTCCGCATCGGCCGCACACCTTGAGTCCCAGGGTGCTATCAGCCAAATGCCCCTGGCGGTTGTCCGCGAAGAGGAGCTTGTTGTGGGGCTTCTGCTTTGTGGGCGTCGGCAGAGGTGCTGCTTTGACCTGTGCCATTTGTGAAGCACAAGGAACACAAGCTCTCTCACCAATCTGAGCTACGGAGGCTACAGAGGCTACACGCTGTGTGTCTTTACAGCACAAGCTCTTCCTTCCGAGTGGCTCTAACCCCCTAGACTCAAGAAGCCCTCCAAAACAGCCTAAACCCAGAAACCCCGAACCATCAACTCGGCCTACCTTCCAATCTACTGCCCAGTTTCAGGGCAAGGAGATCGCTTTCGCATTATCCCTTTCGAACTGTTTCTGAGGAAGTCCGAACACGGAAAATGAACTCTCGCAATTCCTGGACCCGCTCAAGCTGCCTGCAGAAAACAAAATCTGACCCTCGACCACCCAGTGCACTTCATTCAGGTGATGGCACGTAAATCTGAGCACGCCTCTCCAAAACACCCCCAGGCCCTAGACCATGTCGAGCAAATGCTGTAGGGCGAGCACGATGAGCCCCACCCCACCAGGCCCCCCCCCCCCCCCCCCCCCGCCCGACTGGCCTGTGCGACTAGCACGGGATGCTGGATGTGCTGAATAAAAGTTTTTTTGGGCCCTGATGTGCATTGGCTTCGTCTCTGTTGCGGGGCAGGGGATGTCGCCTTCAAGGATGGTCGATGAGGTCCAACAGTCCGGCTGGGCGCGGTGGCCCTGAATTTGTGTGGCAGCTCGGGTTGGGGGTTTACGAGAGTAAGGGACCCCCAATATCTAGACCCCCAAATAGTAGGATCCCCTTAAAATAAGGACCCAATAAGGCACCCCCCTCATATCGTAAGCCCCCCTTCAGTTCTGGGCCAGGTTTAAAAAAATTGTTGGAAGGCCTGCTCAGGCTCAGGCAGGCTGGCTTTCGATGGGATGCCCCATCAGTGGCCTTACAATCCTTACATGGAAAACCGAAAACCCCCCAAAAAATCTGTTTTTTGTGACTTTTTGGGTTTTCGGCACGGAGCCACGCTGTTCCTCTTGTAAAGCTCTCCACGCTCTTCTCAACTTGCTCGTGCTCTCAACCCGGGATGCCCTTTAACACTATCCTCTCATCGGCCTGTTAACAAAAAGAAGTACTTAGCTCCTGTCTTCTCCTTTTGTTGTTCCCGTTTCGTATTCAACTTCGAGCCTCATCCTCTGTATTTCCTCTATGCATGGGCTCTTATGATGATACACAGAGGAGATCCAAATTGCGCACTCCTTCCCTCTTCAGACAAGATCTGGGTCTTGACCCGATTCAAGGCTAAGATAAATCATCATGCACAAGATGGCAAGTTGTTGCCAGACTGCGGTGCCATGCTGTTCGCGACTCGCTTTGCTTCGGTTCTCGACTCAGCGTCTTTCACATGCCGTGCAAATGACACATGACGTACCTGATCTTCTTTTACGAATAGACAATAACTAAACTTCGCGTTTGGCAAATAAAGTTTAGACGTCCTCTTGCAAATGATGACGTTCCTGTCAAGACCAACTGGCCTGAGTTAAGATTCCCTTTTGATTCTCCAGAAATCCGCACGTTGTCGCTTGAAAGCTGTCGTTTTTGCGTAGATTCCTCTGCTTGCGCTCCCAGTGGGACCTCCAAAAACAGCTGTCGACACCGAATATCGCTCTAAAAAGCTACTGAGGCACGGCCATGAGTGAACCAACGGGCCGCTCGGAACACTGCAAAGTCGCCAAATACTGGCGATCGCCCAACACGAACCCTAAACCCTAAACCCTAAACCCTAAACCCTAAACCCTAAACCCTAAACCCTAAACCCTAAACCCTAAACCACATCCTAGTTTGGAGCTCTAGCGGCTCTGAGGCGCCTTTCTGATCCCCAATCGGAGAACTATAACAGAAAAATCTATGGATATAGCCATAAATGCAACCATAAATATGCCACAAGTATACCATAAGTATACCATACATATACCATTAGTAAGCCCTAAACCCTAACCCCAAACCCCAAACCCTAAACCCTAAACCCCGAACCCTAAACCCTAAACCCTATACCATAAGTATACCATAAGTGTAAACGTAGAAGCGACACCTCCTCCAGGCTGTCCGAGCGCGGCTTCTGTTTCCGCCGGCGCCACTCCTCGGCTCGCCGTGCGCGGCGAGTAAAGACCTGTTTTGCGAGGTTTAGGGTTTAGGGTTTAGGGTTTAGGGTTTGGGGTTTAGGGTTTAGGGTTTAGGGTTTAGGGTTTAGGGTTTAGGGTTTAGGGTTTAGGGTTTAGGGTTTAGGGTTTAGGGTTCAGGGCTGAAGCTCAGGAAGCCCAGGGGCCGCGTGTTGTGTTTTTTGGGGGAAGATTTACTTGAACTGGAGAGTTTCGGGCTCAGCACTTGGCCTTGGCTGAGGGGTTTGGGGCCTCGTTCTAGACCGGGCCCTGCCCAAAGAGCCCAATACCCCTTAACTAAGGAAAATTCCTTCAAAAATAAGGATCCCTTGATAATTTAAGCCATATTCCTTAGTTAAGGGGTATTAGGGCTCTCTGGGTGCAGATGCAGAAACGACCCACCTGCTTGTAGCTTCCGGCGAAATCCTCTGCCTGCTCTGGGGCTCGTTAGGTTAGAGTTGAGGAATGTGGAACGCTTAAGGTTCAGAACGCTTGACAGAACCATAAAATTTTGCCAGTGTAGAGCCTCGTTGCGCACAGCCTAAGGAACAAGGAAGGGAAGAAAGCCTCCAAGACCGCACCCCAGGCAGATTCAGTCGTCCTCGCCGCAGAACATGCGAGCGCCTGAGGCAGTTTGGGTGTTGAGAGGCGTCGTTTGAAGTGTAGAGAGTAGAGACCTGCGCTTGTGGGAGCTCGGCTAAAGATTCGGGTTGCTCTGAACGGGCAGAGATACAGCAGCAGCATCAAGAATAGTTGCTGTGATGCTGTGGTGCATGGAACAACAGAGTCACAACTCAAAAAAAACATCGGGCCCCGTTTGCGGGGTCCCAACAGCCGGACGTGAGAGGAATTAGATCCGGAGTTACTTCTTCGCAGGGAAATGGTATGTATTCTCCGTTTTCTCCAGACAGAGCTAGCAGCTGCCCTGTCCTCTGTCCAAGTGTTTTTGGTGTGGGCCTGGACAGTCCATCGCAAAATCCCGTCCCCAGACTTAAATTGTTGTTTCAGTGTTCCGCGAAGGTTCAACTCCGTACGTCCCTTCGGTTCCAAGATTTCAGCAGGGCTTCCCCAGCATCAGCTGAATCTAAAGATTGCTCTAGTCTTTTTCCGGAAAGAATCGTCTTTGGCATGGGTCTGAGAAAGCCGTCCCTATGTTTGCTTCTCTTCTCTTCGCTTCCCCTTTACTTTATTTTGTTATCTGCTCTTTTCGTGTCTTTTCTTTCTTTCTCTCTCTTTTTCTCTTCTCTTCCGAACAGCCTTATCTTTGCGGCCTTACAGACACAACTTGGGATGTTCCCCTTATACAGTCCTTGATAGGGATTATAGTTGGGTTACAATAATCCATTAAGGACTATGGACTGTTAGTATAAGTGGGAACATCCCAAGACACAACCAGTCACGAAGATGGCGTCAGGTGCCCCATCCTCGTGACTGTCGTCACTTTTTGAGAGCGACGCTTAAAAAGCAAAGACAGAGGAGCGTGCATGGCGGGAGTGCCTCATCCTGGTGACTGTCTGCACTTTCTTAGCAAGCATGCCCCAAAATGTGCACTCCCCCAGTACAGCTCGAGCGTTGTCACTTTTTTTTTGACGCTTTCGAACGCTTTGCGAACACAAAACGCACGGATGCCGGAACCTCACCAACCTCAGACCCCAACTCTTATATCGGGATCCTTCTGCGCAATCGGGAAATCAAGAGGTACCTCCCATCACAGGATCCAAACCAACCCGAACTACCAATATTTACTCCAGAGTTTATTGTCTCCTTGCTCCCTAAACCTTTATAAAGCTCCTTGAAGACGGGGTTCAACAACTCCAGAACTATCAAACATAAACTACTGCTTTAAACTCCTGCTTCCCTTATGTTTCCTCTTTTGGGGAGGGGATTCTATTCCATTTTGGGGTCGAAAAGGGGTAACCCGTACTATGGGAAATGCCCACATGTTAAAGGAGCCCTGCCTCGATGCCATACACGGCCGACGGGTCGCCTGCAGCCACCTGGATTTTCAGGATGACGTTCTCTGGGAGGTCCATCAAAGATACCTTTCGGCCGGTCTTCTCCATAGCCAGATCGTTCAAAGGAGTATGTGGCCTCTGAAAGAGTAGGCCGAGCCGATGGCAACTTTGTCAACCCGAGTTCCTTCGAGCTGAATTTAGTGGTCTGAGCCTCGAGGCAAGCAGCCGACAACGATGTAAAAGCGTTCACATCCACATGAAGAAGCAGAAGAAACTAATGATCTACACCAGATTCGGCGAAGAACGAAGATGTCAGCATCCGTGACGCAAACAGCTGATTCATTTTGCAACGCAAGCACGCGCACCCTCCTGAGCAGGCCGCCGCAGATGCTCAGGAGCCTGCATGCTCTGGGACATCTGACTAAATCCTACCAGGAAGGTTCGATGTCTGGCCTTCCAAAGAAAAGGCAAATTATGGAGTTTGCTTCTGGGTCGCGAAATTGACCGAGGCTGTCCAACCCTGCATTCCGCTCTGAGGCCTGGCCCCTAAACCCTAAACTAAACCCTAAACCCTAAACCCTAACGCACGTTGAGGGCCCCTGAGGCCACTCGGTCCCAAAGCCTCAGCCCCGAACCCCGCGGCCGACCTGCTCTGCTCGCTACGTTGGCGGCACGCAGGTCTCCTGAATGACGTCGTCCACACGAGGAAGCCTTGAGGACACGGAGTCGAAGTCTGAGCTACGGGGGGCGTGGCAAAAGAAAGGAATGATGTAGAGGCCTTTAAGATACTGATACCCAGGCACTTTCGAAACAGGTCGAGCCATGGAGTTCCCTAAAGCCAGGCCGTTGCACGCGTCATGAACCTATCAGCCAAGCGAGGGGAGATGCCTTGAATCCCAAGACAACCGCACCCAAACCCCCGCGTTTCAGGGAAAGGTTTACAGCTGGCTACAAGTTTTGCGCGGCGAGCAGTGCCTCATAAGCAAGGCCACTCCCAGCCCAGGCCACAAGGTTGAGCCGTGCCTACAGTAGTGGGCCTAGCGTGTGTCGAGAGTTGGAGCAAGAAGTCAGGAGGCTTTTGCTTGTAGCCCTCCTGACACTTCTGGACCTCGAGTCTCTGACCAAAGCCTGGCACATTTCACCAGCAACTCCCCATCGATGGGAAGCGTTCGCATCTCCTCCCGAGCGAATGGTCCAGATTCCAGATGTGAGTCCCGACACGACTTCACGACACAGGTACAATCTTACCAATCATCTCATGGAGCTGTTTAACGGTACATCAAGTCAAACATCAAGTAACATTGCCATCGTCTTTGGAGGAGCCACAAAGGGCCCACTTTCAAAACTCCGTGAGGCCACGTCGGGGATTTTTGCTTTATCTTTAATAGGAGATGTGTTACAAGAGCGGGCCCTTTGATACTTACCACAGGAGCTTCTTTGTGAAGGACTTTGGGTGAGCAACTTGTCCAAAACAGGCCTCAAAATTGAGGATTCGCAGTGGGTACCAGTTCAATTGGGGGCGCTTGCCTTGTTGTATGGCAGTCGCGTTACCCGTTGCACAGAGCATTTAAAGGGCCTCGTTTACTTCCACTACATCAAAGCTGCAACCCCCAGGCTCGCCATAGAGAACACACCATGAACCGTCAACCCCGCACCTGAAGCCCGACGCCTTATGGGCGTTTCCGAAAATAGGGGGCCCCCAAAGCAGTCCCCCAAATAGTATGATCCCCTTATCATAAGGACCCCAATAAGGTATCCCCCAGCATCGTAAACCCCCTTATCATTCAGGCCACCGGGGTCCTGGTTCACCAGCTCTAACCTGAGTTGCGTTGTCACAGGGTTTGCAGCTGTGGGACTCGGCTGATGGAACTTTGGGGGGCCTCTAAGCCCCAAACCCTAAAGCCCTAAGCCCTAGGCCCTAAGCCCTAAGCCCTAAACCCTAAACCCTAAACCCTCATGAGGGGCCTTCCTCCTGGAGCTCCCTAGGTTATGCGGGGCACATGTCTGCCGAAGCAGTTGGTGTTTTTCTCTCTTTCTTCGCCCGTGGTTGGTCGACCCCCCATCGTTTCCACCAAAACTCATCAACCTCAGGCTTGGTCGACCTTGGTAAACCCTAAACCCTAAACCCTAAACCCTAAACCCTAAACCCTAAACCCTAAACCCTAAACCCTAAACCCTGAGGAGCTTATGCTTGAAGCTGAAAGTTCACCCTGCCCCATGAGGTGTGAAGCTGGGAAGATGGCCCCGGAGCTCCTGGAAGAGGAAGCTCACGGCACACGGGACAAGGCGGACACGGCGGACGTGGCGGACAAGAAGCCCAAAAAAGGGAGGCGCGAAGCGAAGCGAAGCGACAAGCAACCCGTCTTAGACCCTAAACCCGAAACCCTAAACCCTAAACCCTAAACCCGAAACCCTAAAGCGATGTAAAGGCAAAGGCCGAAGACAAATCACGAAGCTCGGGGATGCTCTTAGAGTTTTCACCTGTTCACTGAGCTGAACTGCGCTTGACTGAGGTTAACTGAGTTTAACTGAGTTGAGCAGAGTTGAACTCATGTCTGCTTTGGGGGATTTCCGAAAATGGGGGGGGGGAACCCCTTATTTTCCCCAAAATACTATAGCATCCTTCTGAAGGAACCCCCAAAAAAGGGTACCACTTTTTTTCTCCCCCCCATTTTGCGCTCCGCTCTGCTGTTTCTGTGCCACTCCCCCCCCCCCCTAAACCCTAAACCCTAAACCCTAAACCCTAAACCCTAAACCCCAAACCCTAAACCCTAAACCCCTCTTCTTTCCTCGGGCCGCGGCAGAGCCTCCATGTTCGGGGCTGCCATGAGGCGCCTGGAAGGCCAACCCCTCATTTAAGGCTTGGTAACCTCTAGAGTGTTTTTAGGGTTTAGGGTTTAGGGTTTAGGGTTTAGGGTTTGGGGTTGGGGGTTTGGGGGTTTGGGGTTTAGGGTTTAGGGTTTAGGGTTTGGACCTCCCCAACATCTGGGGGCCAGGAACAGCTTCGGGAGTCAGACGAAGAGCATCACTCACAGAGCAGCATGGCTTGGTGGTGGCCTCTTCTGCAATTGGAAGAGCGCGAGGGTAACAGCCTCGAAATTTGCAGCTTTTCAGGTCTAAGACACTTGCTCTGTAGCCTGCACCCGAGCCGCGTGGCAAAAACTGGCAAAGTAATCACAATTCCACGTCAGGTGATGTCATGTGGGGACTGGACCACGACAGAAGGGATAGGCCATTTTGCTGTAGTTGTGATGTGTCGGCAGCCGAGCTGGACCCTGCGTCCGCTGCCCACAGCTTACTCATCCAGGCTACCACCAGTTGAGACATGTTGAAACCTTTGACCTCACAGCATCAGAGGCAGCTGCATTTCAAAAAAGCGTCTCCGCAAGGATCTGACCGAGATCCCCACCAACACGCCGCGAAGACCAGCCTCTAAGAAGATGTCCATGGCCTGCTTCAGGATCTTGGACACGGTATCTCAAAATCACCCCGAAAGCTTTCGAAGACCGGCGCCAGGCCCAAACTTTCGTGCTCCCATTCTTGCACTCGGCTCGCCTAAATGTTACAACCCAGGCACCTACCCAACACCCCGAAGCCATAAGGCTGTATATCCCACCGGATGACCGGAACCTCGACAGAAGTTGTGGGTGTGCCCAGCCCTCCCGGAGCGCAAGTTCTGAGGAATGATGGGAAACGACAGAGTAGCTCGAATATTTGTTGCTGGCCTCTACAGGCTGCCACTTGAAGGAACATTTTGGACCCCTGCCACCACCACTGTGGTTCCCCCTAAACCCTAAACCCTAAACCCTAAACCCCTAAACCCTAAACCCTCATTCTGCCGAACAAGGATCCTAAAACCTCAAGCTCCTCTTAGGGCCCTACAACCATCCACTGCAAAGCCCTAAGCTTCTACATCACGGCTCTAAGAAATATTCAACATACCCCCTTGGACTCACCCTAAAAGAAATTGGGGGGGGGGGGGGGGGGGGGGGTTTGGTAAAATCCTTCCTTACCTTCTCCTTTGATAGGCTGAGGGGTATGGGTTTGGGGTAGGTGGAACTATATTCTTGGCGCAGCACTCCTTCCGCCGATTTCCCTGGAGCCTTGCCCTAAACCCTAAACCCTAAACCCTAAACCCTACATCCCAAGCCCCCTAAACCCCAAGAGGATCCCTGAACTTGACATCGCTTTAAGCCTGAGCCCTGCTTGCCAGGCCTCAATGACGGCAGGCAGGGGCAGCCACTTCCCTGGCACTCCTACACCCTAAACCCTAGCCCTAAACCCTAAACCCTAAACCCTGAACCCTAAGCCCTACAGTAAACTCCAAAAAGTTGGCACATCCTTATCCCCATATCCCAAAAGGCGTACTAAAGGGAATCCCAGCTCTCGTCATCCTTAAACTATGTTCCAACTTTCTGGAGTTTACTGTAAGGTCCACTGTCGGCACTGTACCAAGGTTTCAAAGTTTCGAGCTAATGCCCAACACCCTCAAACTTTGAAACTTCACCCAAGATCCCAGAACAAAAAAACTTTAAACTCCGGGCCAGCCAAGATCTACAAGTCGCTGGCGGCAGCATTTTGGGACTGAAGCGTGGGACGAGGCACCGAAGAGGGACAGCCAACCTCAAGAAGATCACATCAGAAGGGGCGGGGTTCCTATAGTATAGGTACAAAGGGACCATAAGGGAATACTATTAGGAAATATTCCGGCCCCTTTATCACCCCAAAAAGGGAGTTGGGGCACCAAGGCTTCCAATGCTGCGGCTCAATGGCATACCAAGCCCACATAAGGAGGCTCTGAGGAAACATGCCATGGTATGATTGAGGGTGAATGTTCCTCGACCTTTCGCGCATAGCACGCCTGAAGCCTGGAGTTGGTTTTCTTGCACATCAGGTAGTCAGTCGACGTCCACAAAGGTTGGGTGGAGTGCGTGAAGGCCGAACAGACGTCTCTGCTTTTCTTGTCGGGGCGTTCTGTTGGTGGCCCTGCTGCCGTTGTTTGAGCAATCTTTGGTTGCTCACGAGACGGTTTCATGAAATCATCTTTGCTGATGTTGCTCAGGAACCCGTCGATCGACTGGTGGAAGCTTGATCTGATCCTGGAGTCCTCACATTTTTGCAGTTGCGACCAGATACGGATCGAAGCTCCACAGGCAGGGTTTAGGACGTGGCGTTGAGGTTCAAAGGACGCTAGGATTCTTCAACGACGCTGGCAACTTGGGCGGAACTTGAGCTTGCGAGGGCCAGCCAGCGGCGTCCTCCCAGGAGTCTCGTTTGCGTCCCTTCAAAGCTCGACACGTCTAAGAGAAACAGGCCGAAGAAGCCAGCAACATCTACGATCATGTGATGCGATGCCCGAGCCACTCCAGAGCCCTGCCGGTACTAGCAGAGCAACGGGGAGCTCAACGGAAGGCCGAGAGCCCGAAACCTGTAAACTCCGAAAGAAAAGTCCTTAAGAACAACTCCCGATGTAACTACTCTGCTCCCTGAGTGGCCAGCAGTTGGGGAGATAGCTGAGAGGTAGCACTCCACAACCTCTCAGCGATACGGGACTCTATGTCGGCATTTGAAATCGGCAGCATAAACGTGCCCTTGGTGCTGTAAGGTATAACAGATACCAGCTGGGCAGTTGTTCAAGCTGCTGTCGCAGCACTGACGGATGGGAAGTAGCAGGAGCAAGCCGAACTCATCGCAAATCTTACCTGGCCCCAAATGGGATTCCGAAATTAGGAGTACCTTAGTGGGGTACTCATTCTGAGGGAATCCTACTATTTGGGGGTTTAAATTAGGGGTCCCTTATTATCGTAAATCACGACATGCATCCATCAAGACTTTTTCAGCTGGCCCCAAGTGTAGACTTGCCAAAAGCACGGATCCGATCGCCCGGAAACTCAAGCCTCCTCCCCCCCCCCCCGAAAATACCCTGGCCCGCCGTGGAGATGGTTTGCCAAGTCGGGGAGGTAGCACAATACCAACCTGCAGCATTTGGGATGGGAACTGCAATAACCTCGGTATCCGCATCTCACGGAAATGGCTGGTTGAGGTGCCTGAAGGAGTTGCATTTTAGGGGGCACGTTTTGGGGTTGCGGGCCATTGAGGTGGCCTGAGCGCATGATAGCTAAGGATGATTAATTTCGTAATGGGCTCGTGCCTTGCAATGGTCACAGTCGTTCTTCCAATATTCCCGACACCCGAGACACCTGAAGATGTGCAAGAGGAGCCTCTCAAAGAAGATGACGCCCTTGTGCATGAGGGGGAAGCCCTCGGACCTTGGAACGCTCATGCGAACTACGATGCTGCTCAAAATTGCCCGAGCAGAGGTTTGACAACTTGGCCCAGACGAGTTGTGGAGTTCAGGGGTTCAGGGGTTCAGGGGTTCAGGGGTTCAGGGGTTCAGGGGTTCAGGGGTTCAGGGGTTCAGGGGTTCAGGGGTTCAGGGGTTCAGGGGTTCAGGGGTTCAGGGTTTAGGGTTTAGGGTTTAGGGTTCAGGGGCCTTGACACCTCCAGCAAGTTTTGAACCGTGCACGCCCCCAACCACCGAGTCGCTTTCAGCCCTCGATTTAGTTGGGGGGAGTCGTGGTGTTCTTCACGGGTGGTCGAGTGAGCCGGTCCAGTGTGCGCCCCTTCCTTTTCAGATAACCACCATCAATTTCTACTAAACAAAACTTGTGCCATCACCACCACCACGGCAACCACGACTCACGACAACGACTTCGACCACTACCTCTACCGCTACCGCTACCGCTACGCTACTACTAGACAGCTAACTCAAAATGGAAGCGCACTGAACGTGCAAGCGGACGTGTACTGGACCCCCCTACCTTCCTTAAGGTGGGCGTGTTGGCCTAGGCAGTCTCATTGCAGTCATGGACCCGGGCAGGTGGAATTCCCGAATTCAGGATCTAGTAGCTTATCTCCGCGACTCCATACAAGGTCCGAAGTCTCTTCTGTTGCCAAGTCGCCACAAGCCAGAGAACCTGGAGGCGGACTGCACAACGGACATTCATGCTTGCTGAGCTCAGGGAGTAGCTCGAACACAAAGATCCTAGTCACCAAGCGTCGTGCGTCTTTGGACATTTTAGACTTCAGCGTTTTTCCACAGGGAGCGCGCTGCTTTTGATTAGGCACTCGCACAAAAAAGCGGTCTTTCCAACCTAGCTTTGAGAAGAAATGCCGACAACGCTGTTCGGGGGATTTTAAGAAGTAAAGTGTGGCTTTGCACTCCTGACACGTCTACTTGCGTACCCGGGTTCGGGTGTGCCAGGGCCTGCGTTTCGTAAAGATGTCAGGTGTGGGCGGGTTAGATTCTGCACCTTCTTCGACTGGTGTGACCTTTTTCTTTCCTTGGCAGTTCGTACCTTGCAAATCGCATGCGCAGATGCCCCACACAATGCCGCCTTGTCCTCGCCAAGAACTGACATACTGATATGCGTAGGCTCTGCCAGAGTGCCCGTGGATACGCTGTCCGGATACATCTGGAGTTTGCACTAGACCCCTGAGTCTTGCGCGAACGTGCTTGCTATGACTGGACTTCACGGATCCCTTCGGCTGTCGAAATGGGATGCTGGGTTGGGAGTTCAGGACACCAGCTGGTCTGCTCGAGCATACTGTCTGAGCATTCCCAGTGCCACTGAAAACTCCGACTGTACTTCCGCGAAGCGGATGCGAAGATGCTTTTTTGGCACACCATTGCGCAGGTGTCAGTCGCCAACCAGCTCGATGCAACACAAGGCAGCGCAGACGCAAATCTGCTAATGTCACATAGCAGCCAGTCCAGCCAGAGTTCGGAGTCTTTGGTGACATGTCAAAGTCTCTCGGACCCCAACTCTGCAGCACATATGCTGTGCGAGCCTCAACCCAACTACCCCCGATGTACGTGTGGGCCTGTGTTGTTTTGGGCTTGTTTTCTGCTTTATGACCGTCAGATTCGTCCCCCGCATCCCCAGCCACCCAACCCAAAAAGACCCTGAATTATGACTTCGAAAAGTACACACGAGGGTAAAGTGCGGCTTACAGTGTGGCTTGTGCACATTTGCAGCTTCACAGCATTTCACAGCCCCCCTCTCCTGCTAAACAGGCGCCTAAAAACCCATTCCAATTTGTCATTCGCGCCGGGACCCAGACACCATCAAGGCGTCCTGGAACTTCCGCCGCCTCACCGGCGTCTGATATCTACACATTGCGTGCAGCGGATGAGTGGGGCACATATTATTCGCATTGCTCAGATTGCTCTCTGCAAGCCAACCAACCGGCCAGCGGCTAGCAAATGCCAGGGCGGACCCGAGCAGTGGTATCTGAGCACCCTGCGCTGTATCTGCGCGCTCCGGATACTTCAGGACCAAGGCGGCAGCGACATAGTTCCTCCAGTCAAGACACCGAATCTCGAAGCCGCTAAGTCCTGTCAACGTCTCTGCTGCCCTAAAGACCAGTATCGGCTATTCGGCCATATAATTCAACCCTCAGACGCATTCTCAGTGACCCTAAACCCTAAACCCTAAGCCCTAAACCCTAAACCCTAAACCCTATACCGGGGGCAACCGAAGGAGGACAGGGAACAAAACAGTCAGCCCCAACAGAAGCCCTTGATTCCCCTGGAACAACCGAAGACAAAACCCAAAGCACAACCAAACACACCTTTTCCGTAGGGCGCATTGCCCACGTTTCTTGAGCCAAAAATATCCGGGTTCATTGACCCCTTCAACTCTCATCACCAACTCTTTTCTACAATACCAGTTGCAGCTCCGCACTCCCCCTGTCCTAGGATTTCCTAGGACACATTGGAGATGCCGTTCTTTGGCCAAAAACCGCCATTTAGGCAGCAGCCAGCTGCTTGAAATGCACATTATGGTTTAACGTCATCCAGGACGAACCTTCAGCTCATTGGCTGAATCCTTTACCATTGAGGATTTCTTCACCTCGTACTTGGAAAATTCACGTTCCAGCGGCCCGTTCCTCACCAAGGAACTCATCATTCACCACCCAGCCATCCTTGAGGCAATGCTTACAAAGCGTCTTAGCCCTGGGCTGTGAATATCGCAGAACATCACAGTCACTGCTTGCGTGCATACAGTTCCCACCCATTGTTGTATACAAAGTGGCACTCGCAGGAATAACCACCGCTTTCTTGATCCACAGCCATTTATACAGCCGTCGAAAGAGGCACCATGCCAGTTCCCAGAGTATAATTGCTGCCACCAAATACGCAACAAGGTCTGAATTGTTGACAACCATTTCAATACCTTGAGCCAGAACCATCACCGTAGACGTGTTGGCGACCTTGCACACCCCTTCTTCTGAGCAAAAGAATCCAGCCGTGGACACTTCTTCGCCACCAGTTGCCATCCCTTGCAGAGATGCAGCCACCATCATGACCGCCATTGCAAGCGAGGCTTTTTTCAAGTCAGTTCCTTGAACCAACAGTCTGAGACCCCAAAGTGCCTTTTGCTTTGCGTACACCTGTCCACTCATTAACTTAGTCAACAGGTCAGCGATCATATACTCACCGCGAAGGTGCGCTATCACCATATAACCACGGTCCACCAGAGACCTGACACCGGCTGCTCGAATTCTCAGGTGTCTTGTTCTCCAGCTTCCAGCAGGATATTGAATGATCGAGCACGTTGAAACCGAATCTGTATACAGCACTTTTTGCAGCGATTCTTCACCTGTTCCAACCAAAGCGGCAATTATAGGGGTGCACGACTGAATCATCGTTGCTCCCTCTATGGACGCATGTAATTCAGCTTCAGCTGTACTTAAAGCCACCGTTGATTGTCTTTGTGTTGCCCACATCACTGGACAGTCACCCCACACCACCACCGCTCCTGAGTGGCTCTTTTCATTTTCACCTGCTGCAAAGCTGGCATCCGCGTAGGACTCCACCACCTTAACACCTCGTCCATAACGCAACACCTAATTCCTTTCTTTTTCGCATGTTGCGATTGCTCCGAACGTCAAGCCTAACGTTGGAGTTGCAGCAAGGTATCGGAAGACTTCCTCAGCCTTTTTAACCACAAATCGTGGCCTTCGGGATGTCCACAAAGACAACTGGCTCGCGCAGAACGCCAAATCAGGTCGAGTTTTGATTGCCACCCAGAGGAACTCCCCTACGGCACCTTGAGCCGCTCGCAAGGAAGGAATATCCACCTCCTCTTCTTCACCTGGAGTTTCTTTCACCATTGGCAGGTTACTCCCTTTTCCAGTTTCATCGATCTGATACCCTCGTCGGTTCAGCAAATCTCTCACAAAGTCCTCCTGGTTGAGAAAGAAGCTGCCATTTCGATACCAGATTTGGACACCCAAAAACTTCAGGAATCCATCACCGCAGCCTGGACCACAGAACTCGGGTTCAGAAGTTTTCCACTCCTTCCTAATCTGTTCCAAGGCCTCCCGGAGCACTGTCATAGTCCCAGCCATCAAAAAATCATCCACGTAAAGACCCATTGCCCCTACCAACTTGCTTGCACCTTCCGGCTTTTCTTGTGCCATAATAAGGAACAGACTTGGGTCTGCATTGGACCTCTGAAAGCTCATTGCTTGTCCATCCTTTGACACCCAAGACATACCTTGAAGACGTTGGTCTCGCCACTCCACCCATGCTGCAGGACTTTCGGCCAAACCGTACAAGGCCTTCCTCACAATCCACCGCTCCTCTTTTGTGCAAAGACCCAATTTCACCGCCGCCCTTGGGGGCTGCACCACCACCAAACGCCCTTCTCTTTGCGCCCTATTCATCGGCGCCGTCAGAAAAGCTTTGGAAATGTCTAAGCCAGCGATGATCCATACCATATATGCTGCGTGCCTCACTTGACACCTGAATGTAGTTGAATCTAAACCTGGAGCGTACAGCGAGTGACGACTGAGTGACCTCGGCCCTTCATATTCTGTAGCTGCCGTTGACGAAATGAAGTTTCCACATGCACAGATACGGGCACGTCGCCTCCCTGTCCCTTGCTTCCGGGTAAACACCACCAGACTGGGAACGTACTCAATCACCGGTGCATTAGGCTCTTCCGCCAATTTGTCCAGCTTTTCTTGAGTTGTTGGTTCCACCACCTCCAACTCTTTCACCAAAGACGTCACCTCGTCCGACAATGATTCCCTCCACTTTTCCAGCTCTTGCATGGCTTCTTGTGTAGGGATTGTTTTTGTTTGCAGGAACTCAACCTCCTCTGCTGCCTCAAGCGCGGTATTTTCTTGCACCATTTGCTGAACTTGAGCTGCTTTGACCAAAAACTTCGAGAGCTGTTCCTCAGCCCTTTTTGCTTTAACCAGCCATTCTCTAGTCTCTGATCCTTTCTCCTCATTCGACTCATTGGCCGATCCATGGAACTCGTCCAAAATGCAACATTCCTGTTCAGCAATTAGGCGTCGAATACTCAAATGCTCCTCTAGAGCCCATTGATGCGCTTCGAACACAGCGTAGTCGACTTCCTCTGCAAGGTCGTCCAGCGAGGTCTCTTTCAACGTCATTTTTAACCACTTCCTTTTTTCACCTTCTTCAGCTTGTGGTTCCGGAAGAGGAAACTTGCATTGGAGAAGATAGCACCTATCCTTGTAGCTCAAACGCTCCATAAAAACAGGTGTGTACCCTGTCAAGGATACCCTGTTCCCTTTCCAAGGCATAGGACCATGCAGCTTTATTGGAAAGAACGACATGAAGTTCCAGTGGATATCCACCAATTTTCCAGGTAAGACTTTCTTCCCATAGGATTGCTCCACCACTTCAGCTCCTTCCTCTAAGACCTTTTCATCCTCAACCCACAGCTGACCATCTTTATAGTCACCAAAGCCACACACATAATTGCAGCAATGCTTTTCATTGTGACTATCCCTATGCAATGACACCGGAGCATTGCATGAGATCTGAAGAGCAGAAAATTTGGCTTCAGGATTGTGGTGCCTCACGAATGATGCCCAATAACGACATAGCCATGGTCTTCGATGAGTCTCTTTTGTGATACCACACACTCCGCCATGAGTATAGTGGCCCAACACCAGAGCTCGCGTACTTGCGCACCAATTGTTGATACCACCTCTTCGATTCACCCTCTTTGGGTATACAATCCCTTCCAAAAGCTCCTCGCAGTCCACGTAATCATACATAGACCTTTCATACATTGACTTGGCTTTTTGCTCTTCTTTTTCCAACTGTGTTCCATCCCCAGCAGTCTCACTTTTGCAGACCAAATAAGCATTTTCATGAGGAGAACAGCAAGTCGGCCAATACTCATCACCAGGAACATTGTCCTCAACATCTGCATTTTCTTCCAGCTCCCCCAGACCCTGCATGTCATCCTCGAAAATTTCTAAGGGCGGACTCTCCCCCCGCTTGCGAAGCAAGCGCAAGGAGCCCACATGACCACGCAGTGAAGAGGCCGGGCTTTTCTCCATCAACCGATGGCGAACTGGAGGATCGCGA